AGCATCCTCATGGACGCCGAGGGCATCATCCTGGAGATCCCCGACCTCGTCATGGAGACGGGCAATGTAGTGCACAAGTAAACGCAATCGATCGGGCTCCGGTGAGTCGGGCAAACAACGCTCGATGTGTTCACTTGTATTGGCGACAAGAAACCAGATGACGGGAAGCAAGTTTCCGTTTCGGGCATACGTTGTTCGGAGGTGCTGCATGGACGGGCTTTTGGGTCTAAAATACGAATCCAGCGCAAAGATAGCAGACGGCGGCTTGTAGAGTTCACGGGCGGTCTCACTGGAATGAATTCCAAAGCTGAGCGACCCCTTGGCTAGGGAAATTTCCAAGGTGCTGCCCATCTCTCCACGGGGTCGGGTGTATGCAAAACCCTTCCCTTGGAGATAACGCTCAAGAACTGCCTGTTTCTTCTCGTCTTGAACAGCAAGAATCAGATGAAGCTCGTGCGTACCGACAATCTCCATTAGATGACCAAGTAGGAGGAACTTCGCACTAGAGTATTCGGCCCAGGATGCCTCTTTCGCAAGGTCGGGGTCGGCGTCTTTCAAATGGTCGGAGATGTTCAAATCTGGATGGGTTGAAACATTGCTCAGCCGCGTGATGACCTCCCGCATATTTGAATGCAAATCCTCTCGCTGTGCATAAAATGTAAGCTATACGAATCATATTCAAGAAAGATTCTCCACTCACCTCAGGCTCAGAAATCTGAGTACTCGGTTGAAAGCTATCGAAAAATTGGCGTATGCTTGTAGCTGCATCTGATAGCACTCGCTCGTAGTCATCCTTCACACGAGAATCCATCGGAAGGGTGACGGCAAACTCAGATGGCCCGAGGTGGACTGATCCGGGCGCAACCACCTCATCCATGCCAGTGACGGTCAACGCGCTGGGATGGATAGTTTGGAGTGAAGGTTGACCCATATGGCCTCCGTGAGCTAGTTCCGAGGGTGGTAGTAAAGGTTCAGAATGACCATGGTGGACTGCAGTATGTGAATGGGAAAAGGAATCCGTGTCGGCCCTGACACTAAGCGGTGCAGTTGTTTCGGGGACAGACACAGGGATTGAAGCCTCAATATCCCCCACGGAAGATGGAGTTCCGACTGCGTTAGATGTTTGCGATAGCTCAGATTGGTTCTCTTCGCTGAGTTTGGCCCAAGCGTTGCGTATTTTTTCCGTGGGAGTGGACCCTGGCAATTGACCGTATCGGTCCAAAGGGGCATCGGAGAGAGAAGGATCCGATGGTTTGGGCTCTTTGTCTTCCATGTTTCCGGCAGATAGTTCTTCCACGAGATTAGAAGATGAAAGCACTGATTGAGTGAAGCCCACAGCACTGAGTTCTTCTGGATGCTGCGACAGATGTTGAAGAATCGTCTCTGGAATTGAGCTCAGATAAGTTGACTGGACGAACTCGCAGTCTGTGAAGATGTGAGCAAAATGTAAAACTTCATGTGGCATGTGAAACTACCTCTGGAGATGGAGCCACACGAGCCAAGAGGCTGAGAGGTCAAATTGGTGTGAGATGGGGTATTATCAAGTGGGAAAGAGCCGAGGCACAAGAAATCAGCTCCTGAATCTGGTTGCTGAACAGGCGTCTCGGCTATTTCGGAGACCTTGGAGCTCAGTCCAAGACCCGGCGTGTTCGGGTGTAAGTATTCAAGCAAGTTGCTGATTTCCGCAGAGTACTGTCGATGCGATGAGCATCTGTCAACCGAATCGGCCTTTGAGTCACAAGTCGGACCAGGCTGCTGCGTATTGACGTCGTCCCACTCACCTGGTTGCAGGTATTCAGGTGGAATAGATGACTCGGGGATGTATTCAAAAAGCGTGGCGTCGGCCTGCGAGCGAGAGGTCGTGGATACAGCCGCTAGGGGCGGAGAACAATCGGAGAGATATTGGGATGGAGAGGCGGTCCCGTAAAAGCTGCCCGAGACTTCAATGTACTGAGATTGAAGAGAGTCTACTATCTCTGAGAGGCCGGATTGTTGCACAAATAGCGATGAGGAAGCTCTTGAATAGTTGTCGGAGTCAGCGTCGCTCTGCTCGGTCTCCTTGTCGAAGGGCGTGTCCTCTGGGACTATGTTTGCTTCTGAGGATGAGGAAGAGACCTCGATGACACTCGGCGATTGAGTAATCCTCTCCCGTGTCGCTTTCCGATTTAGCTCGCTTGATCGCTGAGCTTTCCGCTTGTTCCAGACCTGTATAGCAAGCTCACTTGCGTTCTCTTTGGGTTCCTAAATAAACAAGGCAAGCATATTTGTTAGTCCAAGCTCGGCAAGGATCTCTTCGATGCTTTTCATATCCATTCATGCCTCGTGAACTCACCCAAGTTGGATCGTAAGGACCCTCCCAATCAATAAGATACTCGGTGTCTGTTTCACGGAGGATACACTTTATAGGCCACTCCTGGTCGTCCGAATCACTACCGTCGCTGCTTTCACTGCTATCGCTTATAACCACAGTTGTAGCTGGAGGCCGGTCAGTATTTTTTTCTGTGGTGACTATCGAGTTTCGGCGAGTGAGGCTGCTCTCCAAACATCATGCGCGGGCGATTGGTGTCGGGGAGATATTGGACAACATGACGGGGGTGAAATGAGAGTGTAGGTTCAATACTCAATATAAGCTCATATGAGCTGCATTGATCCGAGACACATACAATTTTCAATTCTGGGCAACATCTAACACTTCCCCAAAACACTGTGAAGGTATATGAAAGAGGGTAAACCCACGGCGCGACGGACGGACGGATAAGTGAGCCCGCTTCACGTGATAACGCTTATCGGCGATAGATCGACAATAGTTGGGAATAGTGACATGTTGGTCAACCTTGGAATGGTCATAGGCTTATATGTCTATGTAATAATTTAAACATGAAAAACTATTGTGATTCTAAATGATTTGGAGTCACCGCTAATGTTATAGGTATGGGCTGAATATGACCTTGTACCATAAATCATCACTGATCATCGTGTTGCCTCTTCCACTCTTCAAAGTTGAAACCAAGATCTGCTAGATTCTTGATCCCACTCTGCTCGTTTCCTCGATGTAGGAAAGCACGCCTGATATCTGGGAAATGGGCGCGCATCCATATTTCCCGCTCACCCCACCGAGTACCAAGTTTGCCTTGTCCGTTTTTAGACAGTCCAGGTAGTGGGTTGGCCTTTTCTGCCCAGTCATAGAGAAAATTGAAGTAGTCAGCATCCATGGGAAATGGAAGCAGGTGGAACTCCTTTCCATCTCCTTTGGCATCAACTTCAGAATCCTCCCATGCCTTCATCTCATCCTTTGGTGGGAGTGTGAGTCGTGCGGACCACACACGAGAGAAGACAGCAGCTTGGTTCTCAGCCATAGGGAATGGAATAACCCGCTGTGGAAGGACTGGGAAGACAAGAGTGGGATGCTCTATGTAAAACAACTGCTGGTAGACATTCATTGTTCGCCATCCGTGAGTCACAGCCGGTGGGTTGAGTGAAGACAAGAAAGGATATGAATAGAAATAGCCAGTGCAGAAAACAACAGCGTCAACATGTTCCTCAATGCGACCATCCGCAAACTTTATACCCCTGTCATAAGTTGTCGGAGAAAGAAACTCGACTATTTCCGGGCAGACGATTTTATCGCCATTTAGAGGTGTAGCCAAGTAGGATTCAGATCGTTGAGAGACCAAAAGTTTGCCTTGGCTTACTTGGTTGATCTGGGCACCAATGTCAAGCCCCGAGGCAGAACATCCTACCACAACCACTTTCTTTCCTTGAAAATGTTCTGGGGAGTTGTAAAACTTGGAATGAGAGATAGCACCCGTGTGTGATGCATCCCAGGCTTGGATTCCTAGGATGTCAGGTATATAAGGGACCGTGAAATGACCGCTTGCAACCACCACAGCATCATAAGTGTGGGTTGTGTCTATGCCAGTTGGAAGACTCTTGGCTGTTAGACTCCAGGTACTTAAAGCTTCATCCCTAAGTTTCACTTCTAAGACTTGTGTCTCAAATTGAATCATGTCTTTGACATCTTCGGCATATTCTTGGAGGTATTCTTTCACTGTCCGATGCTTGGGGAAGAGCTGGGCTTCCAATGGGAAGGCCTTATCCGAATAACGCATTAACTCCTTAGGGATGTTGGTTTCCAGTCTATCGTACAACGGAGACACGAATGTTGCCTCACGCCCCTCAGTATTATTGATCCATACTGGCTTCTCGACTGGCTCATGAGGGGTCAAATGTGGGATAGTTGTTGATATCCCTTTTTTAGACGAACTTGGACTGTAGTTCCAAACTCCTCCCACAGAGCTTCTTTGCTCGAAGACTTCGATTTGATCGAAACATTTCTCGGCCAGCAGGTATCTGCCCAGGTGAGTCGGTCAGCATTGTCATGTTGGGGGTGAGTTTGTAACAACCCCGCTTACTTGACTGCAGCAAGGCCAGAGGGCCCCGCACCGATGACAGCTACTCGACGAATAGGATTTGTGATTGTCATACTTTCAACGAGCTCTTGGGAGTTACAGGTCATCTATGTAGTTAGAATGCAAGTTGGGTTGCGAGATAGAAGCTGCCTCGGAGGATACCTAGCGCTTTCGCCATAGTGGAGCTGCGTTCTATAGCTGGTTTCTTACATATGTATAGCTTAGGGGTCATAGGGATGTAAAGAATATACAATATAGAGCTATTTCAATCTATTCACATTCAAAATTAGTAAATGCTACTAGTACCTAATGTAGTTCTACAATAAAATCGACAATAAAGGGGGTAATTTTAGTTTTCACAATACGTCAATTACGCCCTTCTTCTCCTGTGTTTACTGTAAGATTACCCGACAGAGCTGCAGCTTGCCCGAGGCTGTCACCTCTTTGTTGCACGAAAGGTTCCTCTGCATTTCTTTCAGCCACTCGGTCTTCTTTACTCGCATTTTTACCTCTTTATTTTATCTCAACTATTATTCCGGTTTGACATGTGTACAGCTTGACACAGCAGTCGGGCGTGGGAAAACCGGCGCAATGAATGCGATCGAGCAGTCTCCCGAGCAGTCTCCCGCGCCGAATGCTCTGGCGCATTTGACCAGAGTTCCGATAGCTCAGCTTTCTCCCGACCTTGAGCGATTGGCCAAAAAGTCTTTTCTTGCAGCTGTAGCACTTGTGTGGCCATACTCCTCTTCGACCAAGTCTGTGAGCCTTCTGTTGGCAGAGCCGGATTTCCGCCTGAGGGGCGCCAAAGGACAAATCAAGGCCACATTCCATGGACGCGTCGCAGAAAAGGTCGCGGAATCGCATATCGGAATCGGGGAAACCGTATGTCTCGCCTTGAAAGACATCAAGTTTGTCAGCAATGAAGGCGCCCAGCAAACCCCGGGAAGGTCTGTCGCGTGGGATGCGCACTTTGAGAATGGCGTGTCTCTCGAGGTATGTTGCTCCCGGACTCGGCATGTGTCTTACAGAGACTGACTCCTGCTCATCTAGATCCACCGATCTTCCCAATCCCCGTTGATAATATCGGTTGAGCCGCAAGTGACAGTACCGCATGAAACCGAACTCGCACCGCCTACAACTCCTAGTGGGAAATCAATCAATCCCGAACTCGACCTGCCTTCTAGTGCACGTCTCTGGGGATCACCGGTATTCCTCCAGTCTACTCGAACCTCACTCGGAGGAACAACCCGTTCCGCTTTCGATCCTTTTGCGGAAGAAGATGGATTTGTGCCAGGGAAAGGAAGAAAAAAACCGAGGTACAGCTTGCATAGGGAAGATTGGCGTGTTATCAATGAACCAGAAAGCCCTCATGATCAAGAAGCCACTGTGGATTGGGAACAGGCATTGAACCAATCTATCGATCAAGAGCTCGACGAGGCCGATTCGGCGAGTGAGCCTTCAGACGCCCCAATGACGGATGCTGCCCAAGCTCAAACATACACAGAGGATGCACCGCAAGACCCACTTGCAGTGTTTGCGAAGCCTTCCCTTGAATTGTCCGGGAGTATCCTTGAAAAACATGCCGGCGAGTCAAATGTTGTGTCTCATCAAGTTGATAGCCATGGATCACCTTTTCAGCCGCCGATGGATACACCGCAGATTCGACCCATCCCTTCTCCGGGGCTCCCGATCCCTTCGCCCCTTGTATCTAATCATGCTGGCTCAGCTGGCTATTTCCTGCCATGGACCGCGCCCACGCAGTCTCAAGAGATTCGACCTGTTCCTGCAGAGGGGGGCACCATAGCAACACCCGCCGTATCCCCCATAGAGACACATGATACCGACGCCATCGATTCCATTCACACAGAGACAGTGGAACCAGTTGATACGGATGTTGAACCCATCCAGCAGGAACATGTCCTCGATGCCGGTTTTGTCTTCCGCGATGATTCGGCCTATCCGGGCTCTGAAGGTTTACCGGAAAGACAGGAAGTTGAGATAATCAACTCTTCCGGGGCTGATGGATCAAATGTCGTTGAAGCTGACTTTATCAATACTACCGGCGACGAAGCTCAAATGTCAAATGGAGGAGAGCAGAAGCCTGCTTTTGGTGATCTTAACCTATCCCGCGACCATCCAGCACCACTTCTGGGCTCTGAAGGTGAATTGGGTGACTCCCCTAATGTCAACGCCGAATCAGCTGCCGCTCTGGCTGATATTCGTACCGAAAATGCCGTTGACGAAGCTCAATCGTCAGATGAATCAGATGAGGCACGTCTCATTGATGTCAGTTACCTATGGCGCGATGATCCAGCATTATCTTCACGCTCGGAGGAGGACGCGGAAGATGAATCACTCGAATCCTCAGAAGAGATCGAGGGATCAGATATTGCTCAAGCTGATCTTGGCATCGAAACTGCCAGCGACAATGTGAAATCTCCTCAATATCCGGGTGAACCTCATGACGAGGAACATTTTGAGCCAGAGACTGAGTCGGTCAACTATCCACAACCAGCCTCTACCTTTGATCAGGATGCGATCGATGCCCTCGAAAAAATGATAGAGGCTCGAGAGGAGGAACACGAAAGGAAGAGAGACATGGAAGATGAAAAAGAAATCGAAGATGATATCGATCGTTCATCCAGTCAAGGATACAGTGAAGAAAAAGATGAAATGATCAAGGATGAAGAAGTGTACTATGCGGAGTCAGTGGAAAATTATGATTCTCAATATGAATACGAGGAGGACGAGGAGGATTTCCCTTGTGATCCTCGTTTGGAATCACGATTGGACCAAGATGACTTCAGTGTCATTGAATCCAGTGGTGAAAAGTCTGAGCAAGAACAGAACCTGCCTTCGCAGACGGGAAACCATGAAGTAATCGTGCTGGACAGTGACAGTGATGACGAGCCCGCCTCCAATTATCCGGTAGCCCCAGCTTCGACGTCAGCAGAACGAGAGGATCACTCATACGGCTTTGAATCCGGACATTCAGCTGTCCCTCCAGCTACAGCCTATTTTGCAACCGATGTACAGGAATATCCAGAGCCGTGGTATGTCGAAGGAGAGGATGGCTATCACGGAGCCGTGGAAGAAGATTCCGATCGCGATGAGCGCCAGGAGAGCGAAGAAAGTGAAGAGAGCGAAGGTGGCGAAAAGCTCGAATACAATCAACAGGATGATCGAGTTCACGAGAGTGACATGGATGATGACGAGTCATCCCGAGACCACTATGCAACGGACCATCTGTCTGAAGTGACATCACCCAACCCTGAGCAGGGCGAAGATCAAGAAATGGAAGATGCGGAGCTCATCGAAGAAGCTGACAACAACGAATATCATGCTGCTACCAAACCTGGTGTAGAGATGGAAGTGCCAGTTGATCGGGATGCTGACGAGGGGCAATTGGGCAATGCTGATCCAAATTTGCTTGATATGCCTGAATCTCACCATCAAGGCCCATCCTCGGAAATTGAAAGTCATCCCGGGCAGTATCTCACTGGGGACGGACAATCTGATTTGCATATCCCTTCGTCTGTTGGAGATGTTATGACCGATTTTCTGTTGAGGCATGAACCGACTGTCGAAGGACCTGAGCCCCTTGGCGGTCGAGTCTCGCCGTCCGTTATGCCCTCATTTGAGCGACAACTCTTGACTCCAGACCCCACCCAGGAAAATGCATCCACGCGTGAACTTGTTCATGATATTGAACCTGAAACTTCAATCACGATCGAAGAAAATGAAGCTCCGACGGGGCTGGATGCAATGTCGCAGGCTGCTGGCTCCCCCGAGTCCGACCAAGACGATGGTATCGGGGCAGAACTCATTAAAGGCATCCAACAAGAGATCCACATTGACGGACAAGATGATGCCCTGGCTCCTTCGGAACTCGCTGAAGCCGCGGAACCCCCAGCAACACCCGAACCTAGCCGCTCTGTGGAGGTTGTGATCAGCGCTGAATCCCCAAAAACACCGGCAGTGCCCGTTGCACGGCCCCCAGGCCCTGACCGTAATGCCTCTGGACTACGTAGCAAGCTTTCTTACTTCGCCCCGCTTGCTACACTCATTGATCATTACAATGCTTTAGTCGATACCATCTCAATCGTGCACGAGGCTTCGCCGATAACCCGAGCCAAATCCGGTTCGAAAGACTGGTTCGTGACTATTCAACTTACCGATCCCTCCATGGCTGGCACGACTCTACGTGCTCAGATTTTCCGACGCTACAAAGCCTCAATGCCGTCCTTGGCGGAAGGCAATGCCATACTGTTACGCGACTTCAAGGTCCGGAGCCTCGCTCACACCGTGATGCTTGTCAGTGTCGATTCCAGCGCATGGGCAGTATTCGACGGTTCGGGCCCCGATGCCGAGACAAATGGTCCCCCTGTCGAATATGACTCGCAGGAACGTGCCTACGCGTCTGGCTTACGTCGATGGTACGATGAAGTTGGCTCGGATAGAGTCGCAGACCATATGCTCCAGGCAGCTATCGAGAGAGACAGCCAGGAGCGCGATATGACACCAAGCAGCCAAGTGCCAAGCGAGTCAGGGAGCCCAGATCCTAAGCGAAGCTCCCAGCGCAAACGCAAAAGCAATCGAAGAGTCACTATCCATGAGCTGCGGGATGGCACTCGTTATACCGAGGTCGGGTCCCCAAATAGTGGAAACAGCAGTGTTCACGAGTTACGGGATGGCACGTTGTATGCCAATATTTGAATTGGTCGTCTCGATATCTTGATACTTGACATGGCTTTTCTGTCACAATTCACATGTACATACGGAGTAAAACAAAAAAAGATCACATGAACAAGTCATGAAAAAATTTGCAAAATCTACCACACCCGCTCTCTATCTCCTATATAACTACCCAGACAGCACCATTTTGCCCTCACTTTGGTATAACATGACCCTCTCGGTCTCTAACACTTGATCATCTAGTGGCTTCTCGTTCTGACCATCCCTATACAGAGATAAGAGTGGCATCGTCTCATTCTTCCAAGTAGGAATCATAGCTTCGCGAGTCTTCCAAATGGTGCCTAATAATGTGACAAGGCCCAATAGCCACACCAATACCGGAAGAATGATCCACTGCCAATGGATGGAAATGTGAGTCTTATCCGACATTGCCTTGCCGGTCGTAGTAGCGAGGTTTGAAGATGGCGCTGTATCCCGAATGGCCTTTGACATTGCCTCAGCGACATTATCCATAGCACAGTGCATCTTCTTGGTAGTTCCACCGGGGCAACCAGTGAGGTTCGAAAGCGTGATAAACTGCATCAAATCGGCCGTCGCGTATTTATATTCGGGGTTATCGGGACTAAACGTGAAACCGAAATTATCGAGCCGCGCTCGACCGGCGAAGAAGTCCTTAAAGAAGTATTGTATGGCTTTGAGAGATGTCGTCGTTAACACAAAATCTTTGTTGGGCTTAATGCCCATCTCCGGTTCCCCCGGGGGATGCATATAGTAGGGTCTATGAAGGGAGTCTTCAAAAGACCCGTTCTTCGAGATGGCCAGGGTTTCTTGGTGATAGATGCCCCGAGAGACTGATGGGCGAAAGCTGTGTACAACAGGATCAATGCTGCATTCTATTGCCTGCCACTTGAACTCTTTTGAGAACGTGTTTTTCCAAGTGGTACCTTGTGGCAGGTCAACCGGGGCAATAAGTTGGATACGAGGTATGAGACTGGTCTTGTTGGTCACAGAGTCCAGCGGTCCTATAACGACTGGCGTACCGTGAAATGTATTCAACTGAAAAGCCGCAGAGAGATTGGAGCGGCCTCCAACGTAAACAGCGCACATCGGCTCAGGTGAGCCAGGTATCGGGTCGTCTCCGTCTTGATCACATTTGGTTTTCAGTTGATCTGTTATGTCCGTGCAACTCGCCCGCATTTCCAGTGTGGCAATTGGATCCCAGGTACAGTTCCCCGAGCTACAGGTGTACCGCGGAATGGACCATGGCTTCGACGAGTCACTGTTGAATAGCGAGTTGTAGATATTAGCTTTCATTTCCGGATCAAGATACCACAACCCTATGCACTTGCGTTAGCGACATTCAGATCAAAAGAATCCCACTCAACCTCTTACCGGTGTCCATTGGAGGACCAAAAGCTTCGTATTTAGAGTTGCTCGACACGACTGCAGTTCCTGAGGAATCGACAATGGGTTTGGGGTAGTAATGGATCAAATTTTGGACAAAAGGGTCAAAGGCGATGGCCAGGATAACGGCCAGACTGCCTAGGACTGCAAAATGTCTATATATCATAAGCCCCTAGTCAAGATGCGATCACGAGAATACATACATACCTTGCTCGTAGTTTCCAAAGCAAGCCTGCACAACCGTATATCCCCCGGCTGGCGCCATCGAAGGCACCCAGATCAACTAAGGGTCGGCTCTTTCGTGAAAACCACACCCACTTCAGCTGTCCTATTCCCTCGCTGATAGTGGATAAGATACACCCTTTCGAGACCGTGCTTAACCAGGAGATTACCGAGTTGAGCGACACTAATCTCCAGGCCGGTTGAGGACGATCATCATACTGTGCCAAGACCACAACGATCGCGACCAGAAGCCCCGAGGATAAGACCATGGCTAGTACCTCCCATATAAACAAGTTCGAGATAAGCTGCCATATGGATGGTTTTGCTTTGTTGTTTAGTTTGTTTTCTTGATCTTCCGTGTTGGGCACTAGAGGTTCATTTGCTGGTTCGGGATGAGGCTCGGCGGGGAGGATCCTGGGGATTGCGCGGGCGTGGTCGCCCCTTGGTCCGCATTTTGAGCAATTTCATTTGAATGTACACGGGACACAGGCGACTCTCTTGATACTTCTGCTGATCCTTGTGTTTCTTGGTTCGGGGCCATCTCGAAGATGTACTGGACGGATCAAAATGGCAATAGGGTAAAGGGGGGGATATAGTCCTGGGGTTTGGAATGCGGCTTAACAATGGTCCATATATGTAGATATCAACACGTACCAAATGGGTAGGTTTGCAAGGAGCAGACTGGACGCCACTTAATATTAAGCAATGTTGCGCTGGAGCCATCTCTCTCTTGGCATTTGGCCCCCATATTGGCATACAGCCTAACCTGCATGAGGCCATGCGGGGCTATGCTGGCGAGAAAGAAATGATGATCACTACAAGGGTCGTCCTTTCTTTTGGGGACATTTTGTCTGAATGGATAAGAATAGACCGGGCAAAAGATAAATGTTGTTGAATTCCCAATTGAGATGTAGAAAATTGCGAAGAGAAGATTCATGTCCCTGTTGCATTGCTGGACCCTTCTTGTCCAGGAGACGATCCCTGCCACTGCAATTTACCGCCGAGACCTAACCAAGTCAGCCCCACCTTTAAAACAAAAAGATTCACATCAGATTTCATTGTAGTCTCGCATATCCACATAACTATGAATTCAAGGAAGCTTGAGCTAGGTCCAATACATAATGCTTATAGAGTCACACCCGTGGACCTCATTACTTTGGAGGGATCGCCAGAGAGCTGATTCTTCCAAATTAAACAAGTGTTAAAATCGAAAGATCGTCGGAGAGCAAATACATACTAAACTAAAAGGGGTCTTAGCTTTTTATATTCATTCCGACTAAAAAGGCGGGATAGGAAGTGTGTAAAAACAGAACTAGTCCTAATTAGGTAGGCGTGGCGTTATTAACTACTCGGCCCTAATGCTTGGCCCAACAACCCAACGGGTTGTTGGGGCAAGGATTAGGCTTTTTGCCTCCACCTATTCAGTCATATTTCTCGTTGATATCTGCCAACATACATGCATCATGAAGGTGGTAGGTCGAGTCCTGACTACCTAGATAGTCCGCTAATATAAGGAGCACCATGGAAGGGGACCGCGACGCTACTACGAACCCGAAGGTCGTGAATTGGATTTTCTCGTACTTGAAACCACTGCCTACACTCGGTTTAAAGAACAAGGACTGTGTGATGGTGGGATTGTGCCAGACTTCCTAGATTCTATGAGGAAGTTTAACCCCACATTATGCCAGCCTCACTTGAAGAAGTTTCTAGGCGACGAATACCCGACTAACGCTATATTTCTTGAGTACATCGCCGGTCTAGAGATGATCACCTTGGAAAATTACACGCAGGAGCGGGTGAACAATTTCCTAAAGGGTATTCGCCAAATATATAAAGCGCTAGTGCGGCATAGGGATCCAAAACCACGGAACATGATGATCATCAAGGATACTCCAGAGAGAGTTGTTTGGCTGGGTTCTGATCGAGCGCACACGTACGACAAATATCAGGTCACCGTGCAAGAATAAGACCTCCTCAGGGAGGAGGAACCAATTTTCATGGAATTCAAAGATGCTATAGTGAGTGCGCCGACTATATCCATGGTGAACTTTTTCCTAATGCTCATCAATAGGCTGCCGATGTCATCAAAGGGAAGCTTGATGAAACATACTTGTTTTACTGCGGCTCATGATGCATAGTCTTTTTCCAAATGCGATGTGATGGTGATTTCCAAGGCCTGGAAGGTGTGGGAGAATCATCGAAGCAAGCATTTACTTGGAATTAGGGTATATGCTGTGAAAAGGCCCTATCAATTATCCATACGATGTTATTTTAGGAATAGGGTTTTCATGTAAATACTACCGGTGTTGAGAGATAGTAAATGTCTAAATTTATCAATGGTCTATATGGTGGTGCGCTTGGCACGGTCATCATAAGAAGCACGATTTTATATCTTGGCCTGCTTGTCTGTCGCAAAATACTCTGCGCTGACAGCAGCCTGGATCAGCTGATTGGCAATGGCCGTAGGAGGGGGCAATCGCAAACCGCCCTTGTATTCCGGACCAGCCTGAGAACTCAAGTCACTCGTACCAATGCGCAGCGCCTCCTCCACCTCCTCAATCTCAAACCACCGCGCATCCTCCAACTCAGGATCGTGTTGTAGAGAGATCGTCTCGTGAGCGACGTCACTGACCTGGGCAATAGCACCAATCATCAAATTGGCAGGATACGGCCAAGGCTGCGAGGAGTGGATAACAACGCGGGACAAAGTGACGCCCGATTCCTCCCACACCTCTCTCCGCACAGCATCCTCAATTGACTCGGCCGGCTCAATAAATCCAGCCAAGGTGGAATACCAGCCCGGCGGGAAGCGCTTGGAACGCCCGAGCAGGATCCGCTTGCCGTCGGCGGAGACCACTGCCACGATGATAGTCGGATCGGTACGGGGGAAGCAAAGGTTTGACAGGGTAGTACGGGTATTGCACTCTGGCCGCTCTTTTGCCTTGCCTTCGGCTACTCGTGCAACATCGGTCGGCGGGCATGCACGCTTGGTTCCTGCATTCACGGCCAATGTACGGTGGCCGCATGTGCCACAGAAGGTGTTGCGAGTGTTCCAGTCCATCAGTGCACGTGCCTGTGCATATATAGCAGCTATCCCATATTGATTAGTTCCCTCTTATCGATCTAGAGATTACGATCGCATCTGCATACCTTCATCTGCGGAGAAGGACATGACAACTCGTGCTTGGAAGAAAGACAGTCCCTTCGCCTCCATGGCACTGATCACATCCTTTGCTGCAGTCTGTTGCTCTTCAGCGCCCTTGGGGGTCACATCGACTGCGAAATACGGCGTGCCAGAGTAGTTCTTCCACGCCAGCCCTCCTTCCTTGCGACTCTCGTCCAGTCCGAGGAATATAAGGGTCGGGTGTGTCTTGCGCGAATCATAGCTCTTGATCATGTCTGCCTCGGATGTATCGAAGATATCCTGGGGCACAAGCTTGCTAACCTCGGCATACTTGGCATAGTGTAGCTGCGCTGGCGACGGAGTCAAGGGCGCTAGGTTGTTCAAAAGTACAAATCGGGTCGAAGGATGCTTCAGAGCCGTAGACAGGAACGGGTGGTCGGAGCGCAAGAACGATAGACGGTTGATTGGAGAACCTGCAAACGCTTTAGCTCTACTATGCCCCATATACGAGAATTTAAGACATCCTTACTGGAAAAGTAATTGACCGTCTCTTTGCCGAAGTGTCGGGACAACATGGAATCCGCGAGCATATGAGCCGGGGTGGGGATCTGAGGGGTCGTGCTCATTCTGTAAGAGCTAGGTTGCCAACAATAAATGTCTAATATGGAAAATATATCAACAAGAAAAATCTCACTCAATATTGGATCTATATTTAAGATATCAACAATGTGGAATCCAGAATAGACAGCCCTGGAGGGCGGGCAGGCGGAGGAATCGGATTATGTAATCAGCGGCCAACCTCGGGATGTACTCCGTACGGAGTACAAACGGATTACACGTTTTTAGTCGGAGTTAAGCCGACAATGCCAAGGTAATTATATATTACAGTAATTTACAGTCATATCGTTACTAGCGAAGCGGGGAACCTAAGCTCCCCACACACGTGACCACATTCTTTTGACTCTTATCGCCGACGAGCCTCTGTGCGAAGCGCAAGGCACGGACGTCTCAAGTCATATTAGGCATCATGGGGCACCTGGTCACTCTTGCAACATGGTAAGGCTGACTCATTTACTATCCAGATACTAGAAACCCCCCGCGCTAACTCTTTATAGCTCTCTTAATCAGTGGGCTCTCGACTTTGAGGGCAACGCCGAGCGTATCATTGAAAGCATTAGGCAAGCTAAGGCTGCTGGTGCCACTTTGCGCGTTGGACCGGAGCTCGAGATTACTGGCTATGGTGTTCTGGATGGTTTCCTTGAGGGCGACACCTTCTTGCACTCATGGGAAATGCTCGCCCGCATCATCGACCATCCCGATTGCCAGGATATTGTGGTTGACGTGGGATTGCCGGTTCGCCATCGCAATGTGCGCTACAACTGTCGGTAAGTATTTCCGATGCAACTGGTATCGCATTAGCTGATATATCCTCTCTAAGTGTGATTTTCTACAACCGGAAGATCGTCCTGATTAGGCCCAAGATGTGGCTTGCCAATGGTTCGTTCAATTGCTCTCTATACTTCTGAGAATAATTTCTAATATCAGTTTTTATTCTAGATGGCAACTATCGCGAGCACCGACACTTTACGCCATGGCAGCGTCCGCAGGAGGTGGAAGACTACTATTTGGAATCAATTGTTGGAAAGGTCACTGGCCAGTACAAGGTTCCATTTGGTGATGCCGTCATCAGCACGAGAGATACATGTCTGGGTCTTGAGACGTGCGAGGAGCTGTTTACCCCTAATGGGTAGGTGTTGAACTCTCTATGTGGTTTTGGATGCTAACAATCGAATTTAGCCCTCATGTTCCATATGGCCTAGCTGGTGAGTCTACATGTTCAGACGACCGCGCTCATTGTCTAATTCGAATTAGGTGTTGAGATCATCTCCAATTCTTCGGGCAGCCACCACGAACTGAAGAAGCTTGACACTCGGATCAATTTGATCACCCAGGCTACCAAACTGGTAAGTAGAAAACAACCCTACAATAGGATAGCGCTTTTCTCACACCTCGTAGAGCGGTGGAATCTATCTCTATGCCAATCAGCAAGGCTGCGACGGTGATCGTTTGTACTATGACGGATGTGCTATGATTGTCGTCAACGGTGACATCGTGGCCCAAGGTTCACAGTTCTCTCTGAACGACGTGGAAGTCATCACTGCAACAGTCGACATCGAAGAAGTTCGCACGTACCGGTGCAGCGCAAGCCGTGGAATGCAAGCTAGCAGGCAAACACCCTATGTCCGCCTTGATCTTGATATCAGACTTTCTCGGCGGGATGAAGATGCCGAGCCTAGCCTCGCGACTGCTCAGCCTATCAAGCCGCGGTACCATCCTCCTGAGGAGGAGATTTCCCTAGGGCCTGCCTGCTGGCTATGGGATTACCTTCGAAGATGTGGAGCCGCCGGTTTCTTCCTCCCTCTGAGCGGTGGTATTGACAGCTGTGCCACGGCAATCATTGTGCACTCCATGTGTCGCGAAGTGCTCAAGGCAGTGCGCGAAGGGAATGAGCAGGTCATCAAGGATGTCCGCCGGTTGTGTGCGAAGCCAGCAGATTCAGAGTGGCTTCCTACCACCACCCAGGAAATTTGCAAGTATGTCTTCCAAGCGTTGAGCCTGTGTCAGGCCAGACTTTTCTATCGTCATAGTGTGGGGCAACGTTGACCAATCTTTCTAGATCTATTTTCCATACCAGCTACATGGGCACACAAAACTCAGGCCTGGAGACACGAGACAGAGCGACTCGACTGGCCAACGATATTGGGTCTTACCACATTGACTTCAATTTCGATACTGTGGTCACTTCTATCATGAATCTGTTCACTGTTATCACTAACTTCCAGCCTCGTTTCAAAATGCACGGTGGGTCTCCTGCGGAGAATGCCGCGCTTCAGAATGTGCAGGCTCGGCTCAGGATGGTTCTCTCGTATCTGTTTGCCTCATTATTGCCAACTGTGCGTCAACGCCCTGGCGGTGGCAGCTTGCTTGTTCTCGCATCATCTAACGTTGATGGTAAGTCTCTCAAACACGAACATCGTCCCTCGTTGAGCATCTTCACTAACCGTTATTACAGAATGGTACGCCACAGCACATACACTAATTTTCTTCCTGTGACTGACTTAACCCATCTAGTTTACGAGGATATCTCACCAAGTACGATGCCAGCTCTGCCGATGTAAGCATCAATTTCCGCACGTCCAGCACCACTTCTATTCCCAACTAACCAAAACACCCAGCTCAACCCCATCGGCTCCGTAAGCAAAGTCGACCTCAAGAAATTCATTTCCTGGTCCGGTCACAGCTTCGGCCTCCCAATCCTCGAAGAATTCATCCACGCAACACCCACAGCGGAGCTGGAACCGATCACACACGACTACGTCCAATCCGACGAAGCCGACATGGGCGTTACGTACGCGCAGCTGGGCGTTTTCGGGTACCTGAGGAAGGTCTCGAAGCTAGGCCCGTACTCTATGTACGAGAAGCTGCTGCACCTGTGGGGCAACGAGTACAGCCCGCGCGAGATCTACGAGAAGACGCGCCATTTCTTCTACTACTACTCCATCAACAGACATAAGATGACTGTTCTTACGCCTAGCTACCATGCTGAGCAGTACTCCCCCGAAGACAATCGTCATGATCTGAGGCAGTTCCTTTGTATGTTTTTTTCTCATTCCGGGTTTGTGGATTTGTGCTAACTTTGGTTTGTGTAGACCCGCCGTTTACTTGGGCGTACAAGAAGATGGAAGATAATGTTAAGTACTGGGAATCTAAGGGGTGGACTACTGGAAAGGGAGGGAAGAAGAGTGTCAAGGCTGATTAGATGTAGATCGTGTGGGTTTTAACTTTTCAAGATGTTTGTGTATCTGGCTTAGGTCTTGCTTGATATTAAAGTCTCCTTCCATTAGGATTGGGTAATATGTGAACGCTTGAATTATTTCCTATGAAATATCAAACTAGCTGTAATTTACTTTTCCATGCAGCATGAGGAGGAAAAGGCAATAGTTGAATGTACCTGTGAGCCGGGTGGCTCAAAACCAGATTGGGAAGCAAATTATGAAGGAGATGCCATCCGAAAACCCGTGGGAAATACAAGTAAATTGAGGAAACGCGCTGAAGAGTCAGACATAAAAGGAGGTCATGGTAAAGGTCATAGCCAGGGAAGATCGGCGTTCATCGTAGATATTGTCCAAACAGAGTCCTAGTCTTTCCAGAACCAACCGTTCTTCGACGTGTCGGACTCAGGTTTGGAATCCAAACCTTTCTGGGGATGAGACACCTCAACAGACTCTTCACTTTCCTCTCGGCCATCTGCGAAACGCCTCGTGTTGAAGATCTTGCTCTCAACCGAGCCATCGGGAAGCCGCACACGTTCCGTTCGAGTCATAGTGGAGACGACACGAGGCTGCGCTGGTTCTGATACAGCTGCAGTTGGCTTAGTCTCGATCTCGGTCGGTAAATCCCTAGGTGTTTCAGGAACAGATTTCTTGTTTCCGCCAGACACGAGATCGATCCAATTCTCATTGTCGTCATTGCTGTGCTCATCCTTCACATTTGGAGGGCTACGTCTGTATTCCTCAAGTTCTTCCTGTTGCTGCCGTCTATCCTCGAGAAGGAGACGCAGAAGAGGGCTTTCCGAGACACCGCTGAAGAATTCACGTTCGCGATTTTCGATATCATCCAAGAAGCGCTCATATAGATCCAGCTCGTTATCAGGCTCCTTTGTATTTGCAGATTCTTTCTCTTTCTCAGATAGAGGCCGAGACTGAGACCGGTCCTGCTCTGGGTCTGCACGGCCAGAGAAGGTAACGCCCGACCAAGACTGGCCATCTCTGCCAGACACATACTTCCACTTATCTCCCAAGCTGCCTCTTTTCACAAGCCCTTGTAGCCAATCCTTTCCGGACTCAGATCTCGTGACGGCATTACGATCGAGCATCGGCTTATCGTTCTCGAGTCGAAGTAAATCCTCGAAGGCTTCTCGCCACTGCGGTTCGGAAGGATCACGGTCGGAGTTGAGATGCAAAGATGACATGAGAGATGAGAAAACTCCCTTTTCACGATGCGCTTGGTATTGCGCTTGGCGTTCTAGATGGAGAGGCGAGTATGGGCTGAACAGGATATAACCGATCGGCCAGTTTGGTGAGTCGGTGTCCTCGAACATATCGCGGAGGAGAAGGTTCTGGCCGGAGTGGAGGAGTTGCGATGCGAAAGGGAAGAAGCGGTCCTCGAAGAACCGGTCGAAGAAGGAATCGAGGCCAAAGAAGTCGGATGGTCCATTATACCACTTTCTCCACGAATCATCGTTCTCAGGCCAGCGTGGTCGGGAATGCTTTCCGTAGTTGTAGTTGCGTGGATCGTCTCCATCTCTGTTGCCCGGATAACCACTTCCACTGTCTCGGTCTGTTGGATAGCTGTTGTTGTCTGTATTATCATGGGTTCTTTGACAAGCCATCTGATTCTGGTAGCTGTGATTATCCGCAAATATATCCCAGTGGCCGTTGTGAGGCTGTGTCACCATCGAAGGGAGGCCTGTGATAGATTGAAGCATGGTGGAGACCTGCTCATCGGCGTAGCGCCGGAAGGCGACGAACGGGTTGCTCTCGTCATCGGCCCCGTCCTTCTGACTCGAAACGTCCTTGCGGCTGATGTCTTCGTTGCCCATGATTTATGACAAGATCAGAAAATAACAATAGATACTACCTTGGTAGGCTGATGGAGGGAAAAGTGAACAGATGCAGAGTTGAATACATGTTGGGGAGCCCCACTCGATCTCACGTGATCCCCAATGTATTTTTGTTATTGCCTTTGTTTTTTTCTCGGTTTTGTTTTCTTCATGCGCCCTGTTCGTCCGTGTGGCTTTACAATATATGGTACTCTCTGTTCTTTTTTCCATTCTAGTTTGAGTAGACTTGAAAATTGTTTAACAAACATACTACTAGTATATATGTACTCTATACAAACACAATTCCGTTGAGCCGCTGGCGTCATTCCAAGGTTAGAGCCCCACCGCAGCTAAAGCGGGAACCATAGTTCAACCTCTAAAGTATGGGGATAAGAGTCGAAAAGATCAATACATACATCCCGAATTAAACGAGCAGACATTAAATGGCCCTAAACCGGGAGCATCGATGATGACTTGGGCATAGTAGATCCTCACTAGGTAGCTCATCTTCGTTCCGTTGAATATGCCTTTTTACGATCTGGTTGTTGAAGACGAAAGACTCGAAGCACCCATGATCCTAGCATCAGTGATGTAGAAGAGTTCGTTACTAATATAACCGAAGGTGAAGAAGCGGCGACAGAAAACCTGAATGACCTAACATCCCTATTCTTATTATTCGTTTCCCATTCAATCTACCATTCGCCCTAACTCCTAGATGACACTCCATTCCAAACCAAAACGCAGCATCTCCTTTTACCCACTCAAAGTCTCGTCTTAAATGCGTTTCTGGTGAACCCTACCCAAGTGTTCCGTCATGTTATCCTTCCGACTGAAGAATCTGCCACACACAGGACAACCAATTGAGTGCGGGAAGACATGCTGTGTCTCAATGTGACGCATCAGCACTCCCTTTCGAGAGAAGACGCGGTCGTATTTGCAGTCTTTCCAAGGGCAGTAGAAAGAGCCGTGGACTTCCCTGAAACGGAAATAAGGTTGTTAGTGAAGTAATGGTATGACAGCCTGCCTCTCAACTTAAATAGTAGATTGCTCACTCTTTTTTCAGTTTGCGCGTTTGGACACGATCAGAGGGCATCCTACCCTTAGAACGTCTCTTGGTATTGGTGTTCATCTGAGATGGTTCCTCTTTTGTGGGAAGAGACGCGGGTGTAGTTGTAGTTGTAGAAGTAGAATTGTGTCTAGGGCTGATTGATACTTTTGCCGAGGACTCCATGGTGCTAGTGTCTTCGACCAAGTAACGAATAGCATTCAGGTCCAAGTCATGCAAATTCAGATGAGTTGGGGCGGAAGGCATAAGAAAGTTGGGATGCTGCCGCGTGAAGGGGTCTTGCGCTATACCATTGTATAGAAGATTATTTGCAGAGAATATAGATGCCTCTGCAGTCGTTGAAGGATGGAACCGATGAGCGAAATGATTTTCAGGATGATGTAAAGCAGCACGCCAGTCAAGTTCCTCAGAGACATTTGGAATGTCCGTGGGGAGGTTGAACGAAGAATAGGCCATTGGATTACAAGGTCTGTCACAAACGAATAGACTGTAATATGGTTGGTGGGTCTTTGGGGCAAAGTATTGAAATGCTTTGAATTGTTTGAACTGAACTTCGACAATTCTCGAGCTGAGGAAGAGAGCTTTTATGTTGAATTCTCGAACCTGCCCAGGTGAAATCAAATTCACTACATACTAATCAATAGCTAGTAATAAGATAGGCTGGATAGGCTGATGTCGTGTGTCACTGCCCAGGTGCATGGTACCGTATTCTATTGACCAGTAATAAGTCGTGTACCATGTTACCCGGGACCAGTGAATGCCATGAAAGATCAAATAAGTGGGGCTAGGTAAAAATCTATGGTACTCAATTCCAGGGCTAGTCTAAATCGGGACTAGACTCGTATCACCACATACACCACCCCCCAACAAATCTATATAGTTAACCACTTTCAATTTGAACTATATATATTTCCACCAAGGTATAGAGCGAAATAAGCTCCTAATTATAGTATCTAAGTACCTAAGTACATATTAAGCAATAACTAGTTACAGGTTAAAGGTCTGGATATGTCCAATCACTTTATGACTTGCAAGTTCCATCCGTCCCATATCCGAAGTCTGTGATACACTTCCATCTCGAGTCTTTCACGAGCGTGGGGAGCCTCGTTAAATTCCGCTATCATATCATTGCATGACGAGAAATCCGATTCAAACGTTTTTTCGCCGGCACCCCTCATGTTCGCAAGAACACACTGACGAAAATGCCATCGAAGATATTGATCGGGAACCCTGTTCGGGTCATTTTCGTTTCGACAAACAGGGTCCAGATGTTTTCCATCTATATTATGATTATCGCGTCTAAAGCAAGTGATTTTGTAATTGTCCTATAAATGAATTAGTATTCGTTCCTTCTGTCTCCCTCTGTCCTGAATAGAAACACTTACATCTGGGTTGATGCCAAAATAGTACTTTTCAAACAACTCATGATATTGTGTTTGCATAAGTAAACCATTTTGAACCGAGTTGATAAGTGAGGTATCGCTACCCGGGACGGCATTAGGAACCCATTTGTCAAACCCTTGTCGAATCCAGTGTTCCTCTTTTTCTAAAGGAAAGACATGACAGGCATGGAACCCAGTCCAATCGTCGATTTCGAATTCGAAGTTCTCATCTCCCGAAATAACACATTTTCGATCTCGATTTCGTACACTAAGTGTGAAGTGTAGATTTCTATCGCTAATTCGATAGGATGGAATTCTGCGGATATGGGGTTCATCGGTCATTGTAACAGAATCTATCCGAGTTGGCAGGTTTCTTGCTGTTTCAAATTTTTGGAAAGACGTACCTCCAGGGGCAGTAACAATATAGTAATTTCCGATCGCCAATGCTTCGTCCGTTGGTAAAATTTCATTGTGAGAAATATCGAAGATAGTGAATGGGTGTGGCAAGGAGTTTGAATGAGATTCTACAACCAGGACAATGTGGAGGAGGTTGATAAAATTTTGTTGTGTGATGCTGCTGTTCTGGTAAAAACCACCAAGCATTTCTTGCGTAGAATCGTCGTAAAAGAACACATTGCGGCGGTAATTCGATGCCATGTTGATTCGGGGTACATCAAAGGGAAGAATCAGGATCAAGAAGAACTCGAGTCTTCAGGAAGAAAAAAAAGATGTGTGCGATAGATGAGGGGAAAGAGAGAGAAGGGGTGAAGTATGATTCCCAGCTTTAGCTGTAGTGGGGCTCTAAGCTTGATGCAGAGTGGGGACTCTATCCCCTCCTTTAGTGATGGATCTGGAAGGTCTTTTCTTTATTTCTTCCGTAATAAAGTAGGATGTTTTTATGTATGTTTTTTATGTTAATTTAGTACAAGAATAGACACTTATGCGACGTTGTCTGTCTTTTTGGTAGTCTTTTTAGATATCCTTTTTTAGATATATTCTCCCCTTTCTCAGCTAGACAGCGGAAAAAGGCGGAAAAAGGCTTAAAACGTGCAGACCACTTTTCAATATAACCCTTGGAAGATGACATTCTGAGATATAGAGAAGAATTGAATAGACATTCTCACAAAGATGGCACCCATCTCACATATGTGCCCGTCCTTGAGGCTCCCATGCTTCATCGAATCCAGCAGAACGGACCCACATCGGCTTATCTCCCTCCTCAACAGTGGAGTCAACAGCTGTCGAGCAGTTAGTACCTGTAAGGTACGGGTGTAATGTCAGTTCCTGCCGCTTACCTATATTCCCAATCCTAAGCCACATATCTCCCTTGATCTGCATCTCGGGGTTTTTGCTCTCATATGCCTGACAGACTTTCTGACCGTGCGCCAAAGCCCGTGCGAGCTTGGCTAGATGCCCATCATCACCGGGATGGGCGATGCTGCGCGCGAATATCTGTGACCAGTCCTCCTTCAGAGGATAATTGGTCACCTCATCCAGCAGAAGATCCGGCGTTCCACGTGAAGTGTACATCAGGAGATCGATGCGTCCCTTCCACTCCAGCAAGCGCAGCTTGGATCGCTGGTTCAGGAATGGGAGGTTGATAAACTTAGAAAAGAAGATAGACGAGTTGACACAATGGATGAAGAAGAAATCAAGCTTCATCTCTCTGGTCGGACGCTGGGCGGCACCAGTATAGTAAACTAAGATAAATTTAGCAATAGCTCCTCGCTCACATCACTTAAGGCTAGACTTACCAACTGTATTGATCATATCCGCCAACCGCTCCTCTACCTGATCCTCGGATACGGTAAATTGAGAGGCATACTTCAGCATCTGCTCCGGTGCTCTGTGGAGCACTCCATCCCTGATTTTATTTCTGTCGGACCACTGCACACTCTTAACAAGAGCCTTATCTGCCCGCATCTCATTTATGAGCTGGAGCGTCGACTTCTGTCCCGGTTTTCCGATGCCGCCAGCCATCTTCTCGGCAGGTAGGAAGAACGCACGGCCCAGCCAGTCATCGTGCACTGCTGTCTGGGCAAGACCTTGAGCTACAATGGCAGGCTGGTTGAACTCTATACCGAACCCGAGGTGGATGAGCGGGTGGGTGAGGCCTGAAAGGATTAGCCCGAGGAACATACAATATCAATATAACCCAGTATAACTAGAAGGGATACTTACCACCAAACAACCGACATATCATACTCTCAGCTCGCTCATCCCCGGCGAAGACATATTCCCCAAGAACCGCACCGACGCCCTTCGCATCGATCTCATGCTGGAAGAAAGCTAGGTAATTAGGGTAATGTTCTTCCTTCCCAAAGTATTGCTGGAATTTAGCGACATCGTGCATAGATTGGATGACATCTTGGCTCGCGGGAAGGGCGGGTCTCTGATAAGTTTTATTCCGTTCATAGGAAGCCTTGATATCTTCCGGTGCTGCGCCAAGAGCATAGATACTAAGAAGCAGATGAGGTATGTGATCTGTTTCAGCATTAGAGATAGAGTGAGGATTCAGCTGAAAACTACATACTATGGAACCCTTGGTCATTGAAGAAGACATGGTGGATGGCCATGTCTTCCTGCAAGATCTCGCTTACTGTCCGCGCAGCGTCTTCCCTCACATTTGAGCTGTAGATGCCGGAGTCTGTCGCCGGCGACAGATGGAGCTTAGCAGCGGTCGCCATTCTGGATGGAGTAGCGCGGAAACGGTTCCCGGTGGTGGGACTATACGAGCTGTACTGCGCGGCTAGTCGCGGAAGGGGTAGAACGGGTGGAGATGTCGAAGAGACGGTTGTTTGAAAAGGTGAACGTAGACTGGAATAGCAGTGAGTACTATTCAGCAAAAGAAGCCGAGACTTGTATGTAGCTGTAGGTTTTGATCCGAACAAATGTCTGTGACACTGAAGAATGCGGGGAAGCATGTCCTTTATATAGCTCAAGTCATCTGGACCTATAATTGGAATTGTACAACTGTCATAGGTAGACAGTTCTACAGGAAATCCAATTCACCAATGGAACCTATCACGGTCGTACAAATATTAAAGGGAAATAAGAATGGAGCTCCAAACACGAAAAGCGGAGAAATCGGGCTTTCGGCTTTCCGTTGCCACGACCAACGTCATTTGACGGTCAGCAGGGATGGGGCTCCCTAAGTGATTTCCAGACCGGTCTTGCTGACTTACTTATTTGATGATTACAAAGGCTTTTAGGCCTAGGTCGCTCTATAGTACAAATGGTCATTTTGTTAACTGTTTGTTTTTTAGAACACGTGTGGTGATCCATGCATTATTCGGGGGTATCTGACTTTCTGGGGTAAAACGAACCCTATCCATTGCTCCCTTGGCTTGATCATAGCGAGTTCAATCTCTCAATGTCAAAGAACAGTCCAGGTAGAAGCTCAACCTTTCCTTCCTTCAACCCATTAAACACCAGCCGAGTGGACGCATCCCCTCCAGACAGGGAAATCCCATGCTTGCCGGCCGTCGAGCGGGAAGGAACTTCATAGACCCAGGGTCCACCAAATATCGCATCATATGCTACCTTGAAATTCGAAATCTCTCCATCGGGGACTTGCACTGACACAGAAGAAATGCCCTGCACGCCATTCGGGTGCCGTGTGAGATTTGGCTCAACCTCATAAGGGACACGGTTTGCGCGAGGTGTTCTGTCCAGACACCAGAAGGGTAGAGATCCGGGAACTACCTTTTCTTGACCATCTTTAGGGACACAAACTGCCCATTTCAACACAGTGCCGTCTGGTTTGGTACGACCGCCAGCGATGGGATCTGTATAGGAAGCATCGGTATCAGCGCGCTGGAATCGCTGTTGGACGGCGCTAAAGTCGTTTTCCGATCGCAAAGTGAAAGCCCAGTCGACGATGGTGTCTTCTTTCTCATTTCCCCAGCGATGATTGCGGCGTTTTTCGGGGTTGACGTCGTCAAAAAAGGCAATCAATTCGAGGTAAACGCCATCCGGGAGGAGAATCAGTTTGTTCGTGGTGAGTCCATCGGCGTGGTTTCCACCTGGTGCTAGGGTGAATTGGCCCTCAATATGTTTGGAGATTCCGTGGAGTGTTTTGTGAGAAATGAGGATGACGATATGGTCGAGGATGGGAGTTTGCTGTTCGGACATTATGTGATATAGTTATGAGGTTTCTTGTGAAAGTAGAATGTAGGATCAAACGTTCCCCATCATATTTATATTCGGGAGACGAAAAGTAGGGGAACAAACCCCTCACTTATGCGCCAAGAGAAATGTAGTTCTCTCTTCAATGATTATTTTATATTATACAGCTTGATGGTGTTTTAAAAGTTGTCTATTGCTCATAATATCCTGGTCTGATTGATCGGAAATGGTGCAATAATGGAGCATCGGAGAATCAACTTCACATTGAAAAGGATCATATTGTATGTAAACGGCGGACCTGTGAATTACTGTATCCGGTTAGTTTTGCCTTTTTGCGTTTAGCGCCCCAATACGTCGTCACGTAACCTCCCGCTCAATGCTCCCGACTTAAAGACCCAATCTCACCCACTTTCCTTTCTCCATCCCCTCTATCTTGCACCCATCGCCGCCTTTCTTTCTTTCTTTCTCGCCTCCGCCGACCACTACGCATTGGCATTCCGCCCGACGCACTGCCCCTTTCATTTTACCGGAGGTACCGCTCCATCCGACGCCTAGCTCGTTCTGGCCGGCATAGGCTGCCATACCAGTCGCCTAGGAGCAGAACCCCTAGGATGATCCAGCCCGTAGCCGCATCGTTCGGTTTCGTGTCGATACTCCCTCCTACTCTTTTCCTAGGGTGTGATAGTACACCGTGCTACGAAGCTATCTAGGTCGCCTTCTCTACTAGAGCGCCTTACTCGTTAAGCGTCACTTATTCTACCGGCCTCTATCGTATCTATAAAGTTCCGGCATACTATCTTCGATACCGTATACCCCGCCCTATCCGCCCTATCTAAGGTTATATTTGTATAGCCCCTAATATCGCAGAACGACTATCCGTTACCTTATCGCGAATCCCATAGTAGACTTCCGCAAAGCTCGCAAAGCCCGAAACCCGACCCGACTCGACCCTCAAAAGGGTCGGGTTTCGAGCCCATTTCCAAAACTCGCAGCGGGTTTCGGGCTTTTGGTTTAGGCCCATAGCTCGAAGGGGGGGGGGGGCGACGAGGCCCCCCTACGACTAAACAGTGCAAACATGCCAATTTCTCGTGACTACACAAATAATGCAGAAATTCCCAGTAATTTTGAGTATTTCGATTACATCGTTCACTCCAAATTAAACAAATTATTGATTAATTCCAGTATATATTAATGAATATTGATTAATTCTAGTATATACTAATAAGACTGATACATATTATCCTCTACATACTTCCTTTTCCTCCCTGACATACGTGGCTAAGTGCTATGACCTAGCAATGGAGGATCGCCAGCATCATTATCACCAGCATCATCCTCATCATCATCATCCTCATCATCATCATCATCATCCTCATCATCATCATCCTCATCATCATAAATATCAATCAAATCCCTAGAACTCTCGGGCTGTTCTTCTATATCACTAATCTATTCAACTTCAACATCATCAAGCTTATCGTCCTTTTCCTCTCTCAATGCTTCGATCTCATTTAAAGAGAAGAATCGTTCCAGCTCCTTTACCTCCTACAATTCAAGGTCAAATCTTGATACACAAAGGAATAACATTAACTCTTCAATAGTCTCAGCCTTTATACGACCGCGGCGATAATGGCAAATATCGCGAGTAGTGTTAAACAATCGTTCTACACCTGCACCAGTTGCTAGAATTGCAAGAATATACCGCGCAAGCGAAGCAATCGCAGGAAAACGGCTATAGTTCTCTCGCCAGAACGGCAGCGGCTCAGAATCAACGATATCTATATAAAATTAGTAACAGATAATTATCGAAATAAGACGATAAGAATATAACTTACCACCATCAATATACTAGGTTATCTCATCCCCAACCGGCTTCGCTTTAGGTTTCTTTAGGCGAAGCAGATTATGAAGAACTGTGCTTGGTCTTGATCCAGGCGAGGAGACTAGTAGGACTTGACTAGTAGCTTGACGCTCTTGGTAAGGGATAAGAGTGATAATAAGCCACAGCCAGCTCAGGGGGCTGAGCCAATTCTCATAAGGGGGTGATATTACGCAGTGGAGGGGGCTTCCACACAGTTCTCATATGTATATAGAAGTTGATAGATAGCGAGCACCCTAGTTGGTCAGGTGGGAAGAGTGAGAAGTCCTAAGGCCGCAGCATGAGGAGAAAACCTCAGGGTTTCCTCCCACCACTCTTCTCTTTCCAACCTCGATATTCGCTGCGAATGCACTCTTTTCTCGAAGACTAGGCTTGTGTCACAACAACTCTTAAAGTGCTGGTGAGGCCCATCGCGAAGCCAGTTTCATCAAAATTCCAGATATCATCATCATGGATTCCATACTAGCGTATAATCTCCCAAACAAGGTCAAACCACTCTTGAATAACTTTAGAATCCTCGCATAGAGCACTCTGATAGTCATATCGTCTTAAGAAACGCGTGGTGAGGTCGTCAGTGCGTCAGATATAGTTATGCACCCAGTTTTGGCCAACTGACTGAGGCACATGATCACCACGTTTGGCAAGCAGAATATTGGCCATTTCTCACACCATACCATGCCTTAGGGGCATTCCACATCTATCCATACTCAATATCCACTGCTTCAGTGATTCCTCCTCTAATTGAGTCAATTTACGGCTGTTGACGCGGGTGGTAGAGCGAAAGGTTTGGCCTGCGAGCCAGCCACGCAGCGTTGAACGCAGTATGTTAAATCTACGCTGCTGCTTCTATAACATTGGGAATCTCGCCGTTTTTGAAGGCTTGTATAGCACGTTAGACCCTGCCCTCCTGCTCAGTCAATTTTTGACGCGATTGAGAGCGAATTGGTGGCATGGTTGCTGGTTAAAGAGAGGTGTTGGAAAATTGGGTGGGTGGCTGGGCGGTGGCGGCTCGCTTGTGGTTTGTGGTGGCGGCTTGCTTGTGGTGGCGGCTCGCTTGTGGGTTACGTCATCACGGTATGTATTCTGTAGGATAACACTGTCGGATTCTGCCACCAAACTCACAGGTTGCACTGTTTGAGAGCCCATGGGCTCTTGGTTGGCGGGCGGGTGGGTGGAACACCTTGTCCGCCCATGGGCTGTGCAGAGGACTAATTTCTTCTACAGGGTTAATGCCCAAACCCCCCTCATTTGGTCGTTTAAACATGCTTTCCTCAAGAAAAGGCACTCACTAGCTGGGTTCAAACCCTAGATAGTGTGCATACATCATCTACCCCAGAGATGGTTGAAGGTGCTGCAAATGCTATCTTAAAAAAGGCTGGTGAAGATCCAGTTATTAGCCACAACTAGGCGTACTGCTTCCTTACAAGACTACCCCCCACGCTCAATTATATCAACTAAAAACCAAAGGAAAAATCGAGGGTAGAGAGTGAAGATTACGGTGCTTTACTTCTCTAGTTTAATCACCTTTCTACAGTGGTTAACCAGCATCAATTGCTACCGCATAAGATTTACAATTGGGACGAAACCGGCTACCGAATTGGCTAAGGAAAGCAACGTAAGGTTATTACCTCTCGTATAACTAGCGATATCCCTACCGGTAGTTAGTCAGAGTCAATTACTGGCATTAAATGTATTGCTGCCGATAGCTAGTTAATACTACCATGGTTCTCCCGGAGGTCCTCACATTTCAACTCAACTTCTTTCGCCATCTCACTCTCGAACCACTCTATAACCCCTTGACCTTGCTCCGTGTCCCAGCGCACTTGAAACAACAATGCAGCGCTGGAAGAATCCCCACGCACCTCTACCTATTTCATTTTAAGAACCCTTGTAAATACCTTATTGGACATTGGGACCTGTCTGCTGTCTGCGGATTTGAACCCCCAATTATCAACAGCTGATTGCTTTTATATCACCACTCAGCGTACCTAACTAGCCAGTCTAGCCTTTCCTGTCATTTACAATGCCTTGGTTAAGCTTGTTGACTGGTTAACTTTACTCTGAGCTTGAGAGTCTTCCGTTATGGCAGATGAGGCCAAGTTTGTTGCTCCTCTCCCCCAGGGATTTGGATATGGCATTATCCTTGGGTTGGGGTTGGTTTTTGCCTTGCTGATGATCTTTATCACCTGGGCTCTTAAAAGGTATGCATCTCTTGCTGGTGAAGGTGATGGGTAACCCGGTGGGTTGTATTGATTGAATGCTTCATAGGTATCAGCATGAAGTCCAAACATCCGAGATGTTCTCGACGGCTGGAAGATCCGTCAAGACTGGACTGGTCGCTGCTGCAGTCGTCAGTAGCTGGACCTGGCCGGCGACGCTGCTTCAGTCGTCGGCGGTGGCGTATAAATATGGCGTTTCAGGGCCGTTCTTCTATGCGTCGGGTGGGTCAATTCTTGAATTCTTGAACCCGGGACATGATTGATATCCGGTTTATCAGTGGCTGACGATATTTCTGGCGAATAGGCGCAATGGTCCAGATCATACTCTTTACAACCCTGGCACTTGAGTTAAAACGCAGAGCCCCGAACGCGCATACCTTCCTGGAGGCTATCCACGCTCGCTACGGGACCACCGTGCACATCGTCTTCATCGTATTTGGCCTGATGACGAACATCCTAGTGACTGCCATGCTGCTAACTGGCGGCTCTGCCGTTCTCACCTCCCTGACGGGTGTACCTACAGCGGCAGCCTGTTTCCTGCTCCCCTTTGGTGTCGTGCTGTACACCCTTTTTGGCGGTATCAAGGCTACATTTATCACGGATTACATGCATACGGTGGTTATAATCCTCGTTGTCTTCCTCTTTGCGTTTTCCGCTTACGCTACCAATTCGACCTTGGGGTCTCCCGGGAAGGTGTATGATGCGTTGGTCGCCGCAGCGAACCGGCATCCGGTTGATGGGAATGCGCATGGAAGCTATCTTACCATGCAGTCTCGGGAGGGTGCTATTTTCTGGGTGATCAATCTTGTCGGTAACTTTGGGTGCGTCTTTTCTATGACTGAGATAGGTTGTGTTCATGGCTGAGTAGTGATATAGGGCTGTTTTCCTCGACAATGGTTACTATAACAAGGGTATGTAAAAGACAAACAGTTCAGGATGAAGTGTTCAAAACTAGGTATGCTTACTTTCAGTTAGCAATCGCCGCCCACCCCATCCACGCGTTCCCCGGCTATGTCATCGGCGGTCTCTGCTGGTTTGCAATCCCCTGGCTCTGCGCCAGCACAATGGGACTCTCCGCCCTGGCCCTGGAGGGCTCCCAGCGCCTCAGCCCAGACGACGTCACCACGGGACTCGTATTACCATTCGCAGCCATAGAGCTCCTAGGACACAGCGGCGCCGTGGTCACTACGCTCATGATTTTCATGGCCGTTACGTCCGGATTTTCGGCACAGCTGATCGCTGTTTCTTCGATCTTCACATACGACATCTATCAAGCCTACGTCGAGCGCGCTGCCAAGGGGAAGAAGCTTGTCTGGATCTCCCATATGTCCTGCGTTGTGTTTGCTGTTGTCATGGCCGGCTTCGCGACGGGTCTTTCCTACGCTGGTATCGGGATGGGATATCTCTACTTGTTCATGGGGGTTATCATCTCCTCTGCCGTGTTCCCTGGCGCCATGGCACTGCTTTGGAAGGGACAGAACTGGATTGCTGCAGCTGCGTCTCCGGTTCTTGGTCTCGCAGTTTCCCTGATCACTTGGCTTCTTACCGCGAACAAGGAATCCGGCGTAGTAACTGTCACAAGTACCGGCGAAAAGTAACCCCTCCCCATCTTCTCTCCTTTCCTACATAATTTATTTGCATTTGCTAACAATGACAAACCACAGCTACCCAATGCTAGCCGGCAACGTCGCCGCCCTCTTCAGCCCGCTCCTCTTCGTCCCGACACTAACCTATCTCTTCGGACCCCAAAACTACGACTACAAATCCATGGCCTCGATCCGCCAAGTCGACGACACGGACGTCGCTTCCGCAGCCGCACACATCGACGACGACATCGAGCTCATTTCTGGCCCATCCTCCCCGAGAACTTCAACCGCCCGAACACAGAAAATGGAAGAAAAAGAAGAAGAAACCCGCAAATTGAACCGCGCAGCTCTATACTCCCGCACATGGACAATCGCCATGGTGCACTGTTTCCTCATTCTCTGGCCCATCCCCCTGTATGCGTCCGGGTATGTGTTCAGCAAGCGGTTTTTCACCGGGTGGGTTATTGTGGGGATACTCTGGCTCTTTGGGTCGGCGGCTGGAGTGGTTGTCCTTCCGTTGGTTGAGGGGCGGAAGACTATTGTTCGGGTGGTGAGGTTGATGGGGTTGGATTTGGTGAGGAGGCAGTAGAGATGGTGGAGGTTGATGATGATGATGATGTTGATGATGATGATGATGATGATGATGATGATGATGATGATGATGATGATGATGATGATGATGATGATGATGAATTCATTTGCCCGATGTAGCTCGCTCTAGATATATGCTGCTATGCGGGAGTGCTGTCAGGCCTGAGCCCATTGGACGACCGTTCGTGAAAATCGCAGTGCGAGTTTCTACTCGGTCGCCCTCGAATATAGTAATGAAAACACAATAAAAACAAAGGAAATTGCACAAAAACGAACGCCATCCTTCTTCTTCCATCACACTGCCCTAGGGGGTCATTCATTGCTGTGTCCCTTCCACAGATTCCGGCGGAAAGTTTCATGGGGGGAATTTCACGGAATTCACTGCTATGACTATGCGACATCACTCCGCTCGCTGACATCGTACCATATGTCATCGTCTGGGTTCTCCATTGTGGGTGCATCGGTCAAGATCATTGGAGAGGATTCGCTTGGTAATGGTCCGGGTGGCCTTCACCAGTCGCTGTCGTCTGGCTGCTCGTCCATGATGTCCTCCGGGTCGCCTACGCGGCGCTTTTTAGACATGGCGTGCTCAGACTCAGATCTCTGAGCGGCTGTTTGGGATCGTGTGAGTCCGCCTCCTGCTGCCCCTCCGGTGCAGGTATCGTTGCATCTAGGTCGTCCTCTTCGGTAGGCCTCGGCCCGATCGGAGCTGACGTGGTGTCACTGTTTACGGTGTTTCGGAAGTGTAGTGGGATGCGGTGGTCTGCAGGGCAGTCGGCCAGTGCCTGCTTTGCCTCATCTAACGCCGTCATCTTCACCGGACACTCTCAACTGGTGGGACGATGTCCTCTGCCGCAATTCGCCTACTTGACTGGTATCGCCTGGCCCCGTGTCGACGGACACTCCCAGGTCGGGTGCTCGTCGGCACAGTGGCCACAGTTGAAGATGTTGGGACAGTGTGACTGGATATGCCCCGGTTTTTGGCATTTTCTGCATAGTTTTGTCCGCCCCTCACGACAGAAGTGCGAAGCATTGTGGATCTGTTTTCCCCATACGACGCCAGTGATGATCGCACGGTTGGCCATGACGGGGCTGGTGAACTCGATCAGGATCGAGCCCTCGGCGCGTATGCCCGGTCGCGTCAGCAAGCCAAGATACTGGATTCGGGCGCTGTCGCCCCAATTGTTCTGTCTCAGCAGCTCAGCTGCGACCTCGTTCATGGTCTCCGGGGTAAGTTTCATCGACTTCACGGGCACATGATACGCCACTACTCCCCACAACGGTTCTTGGACCACCGAGCCAGGCCCAAATGCCTTCAACCATCCCGTATGCTTACGGAGAAACTCCGCCCCTGCAGCACTGTTTGCCAGCATGGCTACATCACACCTGATAATAGGTTTTGAGCTGCAATGACGGTAGCCCCTCTAGCCAAGGCCGCAGATCTCTTCTGTCAAGCAGTCGTCGCCATTTGATGCTCCGCCCGCTCGACCAGCTCCCTCGGCGAGAGCCTGCGAACCTGTTCACGATTTGGTCCGACCTTCACTATGACTTCGCGGTGCTTGCGAAGCTCGATTTCTGTCACCCCCGGAGACGACGTGCCGTTGCTACGGGCGTTAGGTGCCGCAGCCATGGCCAAACCGCGCTGCCAGTCTCTAGCTCGCAAGTCGCGCCACGCTGCCGCGGAATTCGCCGCGGTGGAGGACAAAGTTGTGGGTACGGTGTTCGTTGTCTTTTCAATGGCGTCCATTCGCTGGTTCAGGCGTTCGGTGCCGGCGTTGATCTTGGTCAGCGCTTCGAGCACTTCGACCATCCGCTGGCCGTCACCCCGTTGGGCGTTGAGTGCGTACTGGCGGACAGCCCTAATAAACCCAGTGACGTATCGGTCCATCGTGCCACGGTTTTCCATGGTTTTCCATGTGATCTAGCACCCGGCGGGCTCCTGCGATATCGTCCATCGATGTGGGTCGGGCGAAATAGGTATCGGACGGTAGCACTTGAATTTACGATTAAGATGAACTAATTCACGAGGCCGTAAGACCTCTGATTGGCGAGATATTTCGAGAAAACATTTTTGCCAAGAAAGAGTTGCTTTTTTCGATGGTGGAGGTTCATAGGAAGGAGGATCAATCTGATACGCCTTCGAGGATTGTTACGCCGGCGGAGGTGGTTGGGGAGGAGCCTTGATTGATTATATCATATGATATTAACTAGTTAGTTAGTTATGTTAGCTAGTTAGTTATGATGGGGGAGATACTTTTGTTTTACCTTTTACTCGGTAGTATCGCCTTCATCTCTCCAACTCCAATTTCCACTACCTTTGTCTTTCTCCTTGGCTTCTTGCGTCACGAGTTTTACCGTTACCTCCGAAGCTAAAACGATACGCCTAAATGCTGGATCCCCTGGTACTGGACCTCGCTGAACCCCATGTTGGGTTGGGTTTTGGGTCGGATCTAACAACCCAGGGTTGGGTCCTGGGTAAAGATGGGTAACCAATTGGGTTATCAAAGTAAACAAACATAGGAAACCTCGTGACTTGCATTATTTATGAAGTTTTGGTCTGTTTTTCTAGGTATCACGACTGTATTCATCTTTACATAGGAAGCACAAAGTGGGAAGACGGATAAATAAGGGATTGAGGATTTTAGTGTCTTGATATTAGGAGATTATGCGAATTTCTGTTAATTATTAGGCTAATAATGTACAAATTGATCATCATCACGTCTAAAACGCTTCCGATTTCTACCAGAGACACGCTGCTGAGTATCATGTAAAGAAAGCTCCGCTTCGTCATCAAATAAAGCAGCTTCCTGGCCTTCTGCTCCTGAATTAGACGCAAAACTTTTCCGTCTCTTGCCCGTAGCACGCTCTGAAAGTCCCTGAGTTACTGGCTGATCCTGGAGAATGGCCAGATTATCCTCCCCTTCATTATCACTGATCCACTCGAGGTCATCCTCGGGCAGCTGTACGTCTTTCTCTTCATTTAGCGCTTGCTCTTCCTCATTTGAAAGATGTTCCTTGATAAAAGCAAGATCCCCCCCCCCCCCCGGCCGGCCGGGCAGCTTCAAACTTAGACGTACACATAAACATCATAAATTCTTGGATAATTGTGGGACTAAGTGAGCCTCGCCGATAGCGACAGGCGTCTTGGGCAGGGTTGAAGAGCTGCTCAATACCAGCACCAGTTGCAGGGATAGACAGAACATCGCGTGCAACCCTTGCAAGTGCTAGTAATTTATGCTTATTCTCTTTCCAGAACCTCCGAAGGGCAATAGGACCAGTATCTATTAAAACTATTAATGGACGGTAAACGTAGGTGAATACCAAACTTACCACTCTCGATACTATGTAATAGTAATCAGGTGTAAAAATCATATCGATCTTTGATGTTTGTACAGCTGTCAATGATGCCTGCGGTTATTTTTGCGTGGTTGACGGATATTCTCTGTAGGGCTCAGCGTAGGTTTTAAAGCTCTGACGGTGTTCCGCGCGCAATTCAGAGCCCCAGTCTTTGAATTGCAAGCAATGCATGGAACCAGAATAATCTCAGGAGTATTCCCGAAGTGACTTGACCGGATGGAATCTTGAATAATTTCCATCAAAGTGAGATTGTTTGATACATTATCTGTTGTTATAGCAAGCAATCGAACTGTAATCCCATACTGCTGAAGTAGAACAAAAAGAACAGCACTCAGATTCACCCCAGAATGGGTTCCATGAAGCGGTTCGAAGCCAAGAACCATCTCTCGATAATTCCAGTCATCATCAATAAAATAGCCAGTGGTTGCCAAAAATGTTTGTTGAAATGGAGATGTCCAACAGTCAAGCGTGATTGAGATCTTCGTATCAGGTGGGAGGTTAATCAAGCGCATGGAGCCTTATAACACCACTTAATTCAAGAAAACTACGTCGGCAAGCATCTTCTGTCAAGGCACTAATCAAACATCGATCTTTAAGCCCTCCCATGCCTATAAAGGTTGCTATTGACCAGCTTATCAAGGGCTACCAGCTTGTGATCCATAGCGCTGCGATACTCCCTAAGGAAAATCGTGATTTATGTGCTGCCAATGAGGTCCGGAAGCAAAAGCGCAATAGGTCTACTAGACGGATACTCCGGACTAAGTGTATGTCGATTTAGGAGGCCAGAGACTTCATATCTAGTTCGAACCTGGCCGTTGAAGCTCCAAATAGCGCTTCTGCAGAACCGGCTCCGCTAGCTTCAACACCGACAACGTCACGCGCACCCACCTCGGTGCACTGACTGCTTTCTAATAGGGCATAGGAGAACGCAATTCCTAAACAAATAGTTATTGAGGATTTTAATTTAATGGTGTTGTGGTTGTTTTATATGTAAATCAAAATTGGAAGTGTTCTTAGGTGGGCCACTCGCTTGTGGATTCTGGGTTGGGGGTCCAACCCATGGGTTGACCTGGGTTGGGTTTTGGGTCGGACCGACCTACGCCCGGGGTTTGGGTTTTGGCGGGGTCTACCTGGTACGGAGTAAACGCTTTTAATATCGGGTCCTCCGCTGACTTGTCTCCGAAGCAGCGGCGAATTTGGGATCTGGAGGTGTGAGGGACTTTCTCAAGGTTCAACTCAACCTAACTTGAACCTTTCTCACCCTCTGTTATTTCCCTATATCCTCCCCTCTTTTCCCTCCTTTTTTGCCTTTCAACCAGTCTATGAATGAAAAATGCTCCTTTTACGCTTCCTCTCCAAAGGAACCCAAGACTTTGACCTGGACCAATAAGTAATACTGTGCAGGCGTATATTATTTGTTTTTATTGCATACATTACCTCACTGATCATCTTGATCATCTCCACTCTCCGCTCTCCTTTCTCCTTTTCTTTCTCTAGGGTACAAAAGAGATGGTCGCTTAAAACGCCTCCACTTCCCTGTGTTTTTCTCCCCCACATTTTGGACCCGGCTCATAAGCGCGTGCATCTTATCTGCGCTTGTTCACAGTGATGAGGGCAAGAGGTAGAGCTACAATACCAGGAAAAACGGACGATGTGAGAGGTACATACACCTATCCTTGATCACAATCTGCTCCTGGGCCTCAGGTATATCTTCTGAACTAAATATTCTACAACTTGGTGAACCGCTGACCACTCTTTGGAAGGGGCTCAGCGGGCCTTGAGTTCGCAAATACATCAACATGTTGCAACAGTTGGATACCCGTGGGATCTATCCAATTAACCCCCCAGATCTCAAGATAAAAGAGGAGACTAGTCCGACGCTCTTGGTGAGCTGGTGGGCAACACTCTTTTCCCTGACTATTATTTTGACTCGAGTATGTGGTCGCTATATCCGGATCGGACGTTTCTTCCCCGAGGACAAGGTGATGATGGCAAGTGTGATTCCGCTGATGATTCGCATGGCCTTCGTCCATGTCGTTCTGATATACGGCACGAACAATGTGAAAACGGCTGGCTTGACGGCAAAGGATATTCGGCAAAGAGAGATCGGCAGTAAACTTGTTCTTGTTTCTCGGATCTTCTATGCAATTTTGTAATGCTTCCCTGATTTTCTGCTTCCTTGGATCGAATCAGTCGCTGATTATGGGTAGCATCTGGACCGTCAATCTCACTGTGGCGCTATTCCTCAAACGAGTTACTGGAATGATCTGGAGACGCTGCCTGGAGAGGCTTTTGCAGTTTCTCTACTTCTTCCTTGCTTCGACATTAATCGCAGTGGTCATTGCCACTCTGGCTGAATGCCAGCCCTTCGACCATTACTGGCAAGTCGTTCCTGACCCGGGTGCACAATGCCGGTCAGGCTACGCGAACTTGATCACCATGGGCACATGCGACGTCGTCACAGACATACTTCTCGTCGCCTTTCCGATTCCGATCATCCTGACGCACATGTCCGTGCAACGGAAGGCCTCACTCGTGGCCCTTTTCGCACTGTCACTCATCCCGATCGGATTCACCTGCTACCGGGTTCCAATGGTTATCTTCCACAGCGGCTCTCAGCAGTATCGATCGCTTCTTGCGTCGCTGGAAATTCTCATCGTCACAGTTGTCTCAAACGCTCTGATCATCAACTCATTTGTACGCGATAAAGGCGTGAAGAAGCCCAAGTTCCAAAAGGCAGTGGGATCCGCGTCCGTCAGCGAAAGCGTAGAATACACATTCAACCAGCACAACGCCGTTACCCATCATCAGTGGGGAAGTGACTCAGCTCTCGCCGGTGAAATGGGCATGCGTCTCGATCCCAATCTCTGTTCCAATAACGAGCTATTATCCCGTCCGGCCATTGTCACCCCTCTATCTCCGCATACCTTCACCACCCGAACAGGCAAGCTGGTCTCAAACTCGCCCTTCAACAGTAACCATAATTCGACAGGGACGGATGATATCTCCATGATATCTCCACGGGAAGCTTAGATGTCAACGTCGATCCACGCGAATACATCGAAACAACGAAATCGCCATGCAAAAGATCCAGCGATGTGATAACCATAGCAACACATCCCGCCCGCAGAGTCTCCGTCTTCGATATCGGCGGCCTTCTCGATCCCAAGCGCTCCACCAGCCTCGACACTCCATCTCCACACTTAGGTGGAAACCTCCGGGGGTGACAACCACCGCAGACCTCACCCGACATGCCAACCACCCCAGAACCCTGTCCTCCCAGGACCCAAAAACCGCTACGCAAAGTAATCCCCAACACCCACTACCATCTAACACCCACCACCATCTCTCGACCCGGAACCTCCCTCGCCCAGGCGTACTATTACTCCCGGGCCGAACTTCCACATCCACCGCTCGCCGCCGTAGCTCAAATGTCCGAAGCGATGAAACGGATCCCCGGTGCCGTCCTACTGGTCTCAGCCTGAGGAGCCTTCCGCTGGAGCTATTTTGGAAGATGCACATGTGGAGGTGCATGATGTGGAGTTTTAAGATGAAGGGGTGCTTTCAAGTTGATTGATTGATATTTGTAAGTAATGATTTACAGTTACTTAATGGTTCTTTTTCATCCGCCCTCCGCTTCCCCCATGTATGAGGCTCAAGATGCGACCTTCCAATACGCTATACTGGCTGTCCGCAAGCTTGGCCTCCAAATTATCTGGCTCAACCGGGGTCTTACCGAGGATTATCTCGCCAACATACCTCCGGCCGAAGTTCGCGTGTCTGCCTTCAATACTAACACGGAAAAGGTCGACTATGGCCTTGGAGACTGACGTGGCGATCCTGACGATCCGGCAAACTTCCTCAACTTCGGGGAACGGCGGAATTTGATGAAGATGCCAGGCGCTGACCTTGGAGAAGTCATCTTAGAGGATGGTAGCTAGCGATGCGCTGACTTGAACCTGATAAATAAGTTCTTCATGATCACGAAATCTCTAACTTTTCTCAAGTCAACACTAGTCTTCCTCTGGCAAGTCAAAAGGCCAGATATCTCGCAGGTCTCCTTCGTTCCTAATTGGTTCATCGTCATCTGCATCTTTGTTTTCCAGAACGGCCTGCAACATCCCCTTGAACATTGTCCTATTTTCTGCTTTTGCTACTTTCCCAGCCCTCTGGGGGAACTCATCCATTAGATGCACAGTCAAGCAAGTTTGACAAATCACGTTTCAGGTTCTGGGCCGCTTCAAAACGTCTGTATTCCTTCTGATGCAAATCTTAAATCAGATTAACTTACTTTCGCTCTACAGTGGTTCGCGGACATATATGTAAGCGGGTTTTCATTTAGTGTATATATATCTTCATGGAGCATTTTCGCTGCTGTAAAGCGCGGCTATCTAGGGCCCCTAGACTAAAATCTATCATAGAGTAAACAATGGGATGTTTAGGCGATTATAAAGTTTTGTTTTGTAAAAAGTGTAGACCTATATAGAGGTACAACTTATTTGATGATTACGAAGGTTGTGGGTCTAGATTCCTCTGTAGTACAAATGGTCTTTTTTTTTAACTTACTATTTGTTTTTAACATATATGGCGATTACTCTGGGGTATCTATCATTCTGGGGTGCAAGGGAAAGGCCAAAGACTACGCGCGCCCAAAAAGGGAAAGCAAAAACAGCAACGCATTTCAGCTTTTAGTCCTCGGTCTCCCTCTCCTTCTTGCGGCGTTGTCGGTCTCGTTCCATTTTCTTGAACAGCGGGTGGTGTCCAGCCTTATCCTTGAGCTGCTTGTTTCTGCTCTTGTTGTACTCGATATAGGCCATATCATCACCACCAGCCAGACCACTAAGAGTGGCAGCACTGCGTTTAGCACCGCCTTTCTTGGATGTCACTCGCTTGCCGGAGCGCATCGAGAACAGATCATCATTGACCTGTTCGACGTCGGCGGATGACTCATTCTGCAGCATGACTTCTTGCAGAAGCTCGCGGCGTTCCGCTGGCGTCGCGTACGAGAGTCCTTCGTAACTGTCTATGCCTTGGAGATGGGTGATGACCTTGAAAGCATAACCCTGATCGATTAGGAATGCCTGGCGTTTGGCCGAGTAGACCATCTCATTGGTGTCCTTGGACACGAGCGAGTAGAAGAAAGCATTGAAGCCCTCGTCGTTTCGGCGCTTGGCTCGCAGGATTCGTCCCAGGCGCTGAGCCTCCTGACGACGCGAACCGTAGTGAGACGAGATCTGGATCAGACAAGTCGCCTCGGGTAGATCGAGTGAGGTATCACCAATCTTCGACAGGAAGATAGTGTTGACCTGCTCATTGTGTTGGAAATTCTCCAGGATACGCATGCGCTCATTTTGCGGAGTTCCGCCGTAAATATAAGCTTTGTTCAGCTTGAGCGCATATCGCTCGAGAGCGTAGACATTGTCAGAGAACACGATGATCTTATCGCCGCGCTTCTCGTGGAAATCGATCAGGAACTGACACGCTTGGAACTTGCGAGGGTTCATGATGTATAGCAGAGCTTGTTTCCTGGAGCTTTCCCGCAGATACTCAGAGTAGAACTCGGTCGTCATTGGGCACCACACCTCGGCACATTGGACCTTGGCAATGTGGCCCTGTGCAGCCAGTTCCATCCAGTTTGCTTCATAGAGCTTCGGTCCGATCAAGAAGTTCAAATCTTTGATCTTGTCGTCTTCACGCAGCAATGTTGCAGTGAGACCAAGCTTGCTCTGTGCGGCGATTGCAGATGTGACCTTTCGGAACATCGATGCCGGCACGACATGCACCTCGTCAAGAATCATCATACCCCATTCTCTCGATTGAAGCCAGTCCATCATCTTCTGGGCATCATAAGACCGGGCGCGGGTCTGTGACACCATTGAGTATGTGGACACAATAATACCAGTTGATCGCTTGAACTTTTCTTTGTGGTCTGACGTGAAAATGGCGATATCACCCGGGTCAATGGTTGTCCACCGCAAGAACTCGTTTCGCCACTGAACCACGGACATGGAACTGGTGCAAAGGACGATAGTGCCTTTCTTGATGGTCGCCGCGGCAGTGATACCCACAAGGGTTTTACCGGCACCACAAGGAAGCACAATGATACCACTCTTGGCTCGTCCGTTACCGAACATTTTACTCAAGCTCTTCTCCTGGTAGGACCGAATCCGCGCCGCTGGTTTCAAATCCATATCCAGATTTGGATTGACTGTGTCACCTTGGAAATCGTATTCTTCCAGAGCAGGACATCCGATCGATTGGCAGCGGGCCTTGACCACTTCGACACCAGCAGCGGGGATTTCGAAACTGTACGTAATTGCTTCTTCGGTCTCATCCTCGCCAATGTCGTCGATGCCATAGTTCACGGCCCCTCCTTCTTCAGTTGTATCTCTAGCTATGGCAGCGGCAGCCTCCTGTTGAGTGGTCTCTCGTACACCAGCTGCATCTTTTGTTCCAGGAATGACGAGACCACCCATTTTCGGAGCAGCACGTTCGATAATTCCTTCGGTATTTTCAATTCTCTGCGGGCCAATCACTTCGTCTTTCAGCAACCGCTGAAGCATTTCAGGATCTGTCGTTTCCACATAGTATCGATTATGCCTCAACACCATCTTGATTTTTCCGTAGGACTTTGTGAACTCGATGATGAACGTCCGAATGCTTTCGGGCAGCGGTGTTTTTGACAAACGGTCCAAGAACTCAACAATATCCTGCGGTTTGAGACCGACCGAAACCGCCGCATATAAACTGTGTCCGGTCAAACGATATTCGTGGAGATGGGTCGGACGGGAAAGCGGTTCCGCAATGGTGGTCAGGAAATCTTGCGCTTGGGGTGCCAGTGGAGAGAAACTCTCGAGGGTGATTGTTCCTTTCAAAGGCTCGATCCATAACGGCCGGTTGTAGTGGTCGCGCTTCAGTGGGAGCGAAGAAAGATCTTTGTATCCAAATCTGGGGTCCGTCTTCTCCACTTGGTTCTTCTTGCTGAATGCCTCGAGAGAGAACTTCTTGACGACCGCTTTATGGTCCAATTTTAGTCTCCGGTTCACTTTAGGTGAGCAGACTGCCACACTGTACCTTTCAGGTTGGTTTCCTCCGGCAACTCTTCCTGGTCCGAGTATTCATCGCCGCTGGAAATGTCGATATCGGGGACTGGCGTAGCCCGCTTCGAGTCACTGCTAGACCGACCAGCTGGATATAATCAGTCACCGGTCGTTTGGAGATATGTACCAGAGACTTACTGTCGGCCGCTTTGCGTTTGGGAGGCATGTTTGGAGTTTGTTCAGCAAGACAAACAAAACAGCGTGGAAGGTCTGATCAAATAGTATCTCAGTGAGTGAGTCACTGGTGAGGCGGAGCGACGCCCCCCGTAAAAGGTATCTCACGCCAGCATGGAACCGAGATGCTGCGCCGGATGAACAGGCGGCGAAAAGAGATCTGCGGTTTATTGTGAAGCAGCGAGAAAGCGTTGGTGAAAGGAGAATGAAATATTCGGTGGAGTAGGATGCCGCCTAGAGCAACGATATATATATGATGGAGAGAAAAGATCAAGGCAAAGGCCGTCCTTAATTCCCAGGTTCCAAAGGCGATGAGATGGTTGATAATCATTGGCCTGAGGCACCAATTGCAATAATTGGTCCATGCGTAGCCGCCCGACCTCGGGACTGACGTAGAGCATTCTTTTCTGTTGCTTCACACACATCACAACTACCAGATTGTTCGCCATGAATACGGTAATTTCCTCTGTCAAATGCCTCTTTAATGTTGCTAATTATGTTCTCTTCTAGATTCGATCTACCTGGTGAGAGAAGATGTCTCTATCGGAAAGACAAAATATAAACAAACTTGAACATATGTACTGACGTGGCTCTCATTTGAACAGGATGGGCTGGGGCACCCTTTGCCTTGGTATGTGACCTATTGACGGATCGCTGGCCAAGTACCAGTGAACAAATCCAGCAATTCATGTGTGAAGAAGCGACTAACCACTCCCCTATAGCTGGCGGCGGAGCATACTATTTCGCGAAGCAATCGATCAACGCCGACCGACAAGCCCGATTCGAAGCCGAAATCAAGCGCAAGGCCCAAATGAAGCAAATGGAGAATGAGCACAAGCGCCAGGCGCAATTGGCGCCGACACCAACCCCGGGCAACGACGCTAGCTCGAAGCGAGCGAGCATGGCACGATTCCAGAACGCCTCCGACGATGCCGCCTCGCCAAGTGCCGAAGCTTCCCACGATCCGGCGCCGACCCGGCACGAACCCTTGACCGAGACCGACCGTGTGGTGGAGAAGGGGAAATACGAAACGGCACAGCCGTACCGGCCTCCGAGCGGGAACCGGTTTAGTTGATCCGTTGGCCGCATTGTATACTATTTTGATACTGAATACTTCGTACGCAAACTGAAAAATAGTGGATCAGTGGGGAGTTCCTCGGACTCGATCTACTTTGTACTACATTTGGTTCGTTGCTCGTACTCGAGCTGCGAGTCGACTCAGTACCGGATCCATTCGCGCAAAGCTAGCTATCTAATGATCGCTGCCATTCGCAGCGATGATAGAGAGAGGTCTAACCATCTCCACTCCCTCCTTGTCTCCACGTTCAATAGTAATAATGTGTAATGATAGCACCATCCCAGAGTGCTAGTCAAAAGAGAACCAAAACGCCGAATTCCAAACTCCTTAGATCATAATGCATCACGTTGCAATCTTGGAAATCAGGTCCTGTATCAGCGCCTGCACCGACAGTGCCCGTCAAAATTGCGAGTCGTTCAAAAGTGTGGCGACTAGCGCGCATGGAAGCAAAGTGGGGGGTTCCTGTATATCAGGTTAGTTTCTCCACACCAGCTCGCATTGACCGCAAAAGTAAAAACGTGGTAGAATTTCAAGACTTACTTGGCGCTAGTAGATATGCCCAAGCTCCGTTGTCGCGAGCTTTCGAGAGCAGGTGGGACAAATGGGAGTACCACGCCGGTTACAATGCAACCCATGGCGACAGCGCGGGCAGCGCGAGAGTCAGGACGAGGACGGTGGGCTGAGAAGTGACGGATGGAGGGACGGGCGATTTGGGAGGCGAGAATGGAAGCCATAGTGTAGATTCCAAAGTTTGTTTTGAGGGTAGGTTTGATTATGGGGTTGATTTTGAGTTTGATTTGATTTTGATTTGATTTTGAACTGAGAGTAGAACTGACTGTAAAGCAGGATAGAGCAGAGGGTAGAAGAGAGAATAAACTATAGACAGAACAGGGTTATATAAAGAGAATAACAGATGAGCAGTCAGGCCATGCAACCGCGCAAGTGATCCGGACATTGCGGGGCATATGGTATGGCCTGATCCTCAATGGGAATCCTCATCCGTGATCAGATGGTTTAGGCAACTATGGCTGATCGGCATCTTTCCTATCAAATAAAATCACTTCATGGCTCATAGCGGATTTGTCGGCAAGAGCCCTTACGCCATCGCGGGGTTTCAAGTCGAATGTGTGGGGGATGTTTTTAGCGTCCTTAAGACTTCACCGCGTTAACTGCGGGAATAATGGGGATAGACCGGGAACTCAGTTCCGAGGAGTTCAGTTCTAGCCTTCCAAGGTTGGAAGTAAATCTGATACATAAACTGATAATTGATTATTGATATGCTACTAGTACCAACTGTTAGGGTAAAAGCGTGTAAGAGCAAGATGATCTTCTGGTAATGCCCAGGTGCTTGCTATCTGGGGCACTCAATGTACTTGTTCATTGTGTCACGTGATTCTGGCTGACTAATAGTGTGTTAACTCCACCTGGGCAGGGCTCCCTCGGGGGGCTTCAGGGCTCCTCTGACGGCAAGGCTAAAGAAAGACCAAGACTCAGGGTCGAGTACGAACTAAGGTGATTTAAGCTAGGCTGGGTCATAAAAGAGCACAATTCAGTTGATATTTATATTTAATTCTGTCAGGTTTTACCGCCGGGACATATCAACTAGGCGATAGCCCGTGGACGGACCCCGGGGGCATATAAAGGGTCACGTGCGATAAAGCTTCGATAAGCTTCGAACATGAAATATAGAGGCAGCGAATGTTGGACCTCTCACTCTTCCCTTCAAAAGATCGTGAGATCGCTGACCACAATAATGGCGAATCATGGTGTTGTTATCCTCAAGGCTGCATTTGCAGCTTGTCTCTTACGTCCGGATCCTACTTCGGTTCCTCACGATGAGATAAGCGCGTTTCACACCTCCCTCGAGCGCGCGCTGTCGCATTGCTCTCCAGCCAACATTCAGGTCTGAGCCTTTGTCACCTCTGTTTACTCTCGCGTCCTGGCTTACTAAATAGCTCTTTCCCCACACAGACCTGTAAAGCCTGGTTGCTTCGTTTTGTTGCGTTTTCATCTAATAGGGTTGGGGGTCTGGTCAATTACCTGGAAGCTCTCGCTGCGTCCTTCCCACCACCACAGCCCACTGGATCCAAACTTTCGCCAAAGCGCCAACGCCTCCACATACTCTACTTGCTTAATGATCTGTTGCATCATTGCAAGTACCATCTAGGCACCCCTGCAACCTTCTCCACAGTGAGCGGGTCCCTGCAGCTGCATCTCGTGAACTTGGTCGGCTACGCAGCGACCTGTGATCGCCAAAAGAACCCACGCCACCATCGACGGCTAGATGATCTACTAGATCTCTGGTCTGAGCACGAATACTTCCATCCCGAGTTGGTCAACAAGCTTCGGGAAGTTGTGACTATGGGGGTGCCACTGCCTTCAAACGATGCGGCCAACGAGCTGAACCCGGCCAAGAACAAGAATGTGCCTTTTATCATGCCATTTACACATGGAGATCCATCGACGCGTTGGCACGAAGTTCGTGCGGGCAACATTTATCCTCACATTATTCCCGACTCGGCTATTCCCATCCGGCCTGAGGCCATCAAACCGATACAACTACTAGCAGGTCCTGCCGACGCAAAGGCGGTGGAATCCCTCAAAGACTTTCTCAGTGATGTGAACAAGCTCTTCGACCCGGAAATCCCTGGCGATGATAGACATACCGACATCGATCAGCTCGGCCAGACAGTGATCCGGGGGAGAACACAGGTGACATCCTCGATGGCGAACACTACCACGGATGGTCCCTTGAATTCTGTCAACCCGCAGATACAGACACCGAGGACTCGCGCGGCCGAAGTCGCAGCCGTAGCCGCAGTGAATCACGAACTAATAACAAGCGCCGACGCTACAGCGACAGCTCCACGAGCCAGTCCGAGTCACAATCTCCAAATGGATCACGATCATACAGACATGGGTTCCGTCGTCGCAATGACGCACGACCAAGAAGCCGTTCTCAACAGCGCTCACGAAGCCGCGAAAGCTCATACACACCTCGCGAACCGCCCACTTCACACTTCCCGCCCCCTCACCAGCCTCAACACGCCTCCGCACCCATCAGCTCCTTCCCCCCTACTCATCCCTCCAGTGGACAATATCCTCATCCTCCCATGGGTATCAACACCGGCTATCCTCAAGTACCTGCACCCAACTACGGTTCTTGGCCTCCGCCTCCTCCGCATATGCCGACAATGCCCTTCCCCCAACCCGGATCCGGGTCCTCGTCATCAGCATTCCCTCCTCCATACCATCACCATCCTCCTCCTATGCCGCATGGACAGAACCAGGGACAAAACCAGGGACAGCGACAGGGGTACGGCATGCCCCCGGGTCAGTATCACTTCCCTCCTCCTTATTCTGGGGGTCAGCAAGGTGGGCCATGGGGACCTCCTCCTCCTCCCCCCCAGGGTGGGCGCGGCTGGCAATAAACATGTGCACATGAAACGATGTAAGAGTTATGTTTGAAACGCAATCGATGAGTCGGTGGAAAGGCAGCCTTCCAATGCTGCAATTTGTATGATTACGGCCCCGCCGCAGCGGGATATTCATGTTCATTTAAAAAACAATATGACAGAGTACATGTAATTGTTGTTGCATCTCGAGTAGATACTTTACTGTAGATAGTATCCACGGTGTACATTGATGCTTGTGTCCAAAATAATTTCAAACATCCAAGATTTCCACAACCTAGTAAACCGCGATAGGCCTCTTATTGGGGGACTAACAAAGGACGCAATCTACAAATATGTATAGCAGAGCCCGCCGCGATAAATAAAACATAGAAAAATAACAGCCTATAGAAGTGTCGTATGCAATTACACAATTACACACCGTAACCTCCATGAACCAAACATCACAGGTATAGTGTCTATATAATATCGAGTATAAAGGAAAAAGAAACCAAAAGACGCCACCATTCTCTCCTCCTCAACTGCAAGTATACAACCCCAAAAGTACATCCCGCACTCATCCATACCACAGAGTTCCAGACCGGCCAAGTTGTTGACATTAAGTGAGAATATCCATGATCATATCAGCCTGTGTCTCCGGTATATCTTTCATCTGGTTCGAATAGTACGTCTTCTTAGCCTCCTCGAAAGACTTGCAAGTGTTGAAAGCGGAACCCTAGAAGAAAGAACAGTTAGATACATTCTTCTTCCTCGGAAACATAGAACAAAAAAGAAGCAAGGGAAAACGAGAATACATACCTCATTCTTGCTATCGCAGCACATGGGGGTATAACCTTTTCCAGTGCAGGTATCAGGAGCCTCCCTTTCGGCCATGTTTTTGCCTAAGAAGGTATATTAGATTAGTGCACAATAATCAACCTTTCAGGATTATCATGAGATCTTGAAGAAAGGACAGGGAGAAATATAGAAACATACACCGGAAAGATAAAGCCGAGCTAACCTCTATCCCGCCGACGACTGGCACCAACTCGCCGAGCGGGTTGATGATGTCCTTGCCTGTCTGCTGCACAGACATGCAGCAGGACTTGTACTTACCCTTTGGGCATGTGTACGCCTCGTAGGGGTTGGGCGATGGGGTAGGCGAAACCGAGGCAGAGCTCGAGGGCGAGATGAGAGACTTGGACACGGAGGATGTAGTAGTTGGCTTCTCGCTTGCCATTGGGATGGCAGCGGTGATGGACAGGAGGGATACAAGGCCCATGAAAAGAGTTGTGAGGTGCATTGTTGCTGATCTTGTGATGTTCGTGTGTTGTGTAGGTATGAAGAGTGTTGAGTGAGTTGATGTATAGTATTGTAGGACGACTGGCCACGCCGCGGATGGCTTTGAGGGTTTGGATATCCAAAATAAACGTCAACGTTAGAGACAGTGAATTAAAAGAGTGTGTATTGGTCTCCAGAATTGAGACCGAAATGGATGGCTGGTTGTCGCGCGAGGTTGTCGTATGGGTGTGTGTCGGATAGGAAGAAACAAGAACAAGACGTTGACCTTCAACGTACGCAGTGCTCGGTTTTTTGGGCGGTCCTGCCAGCCTCAGCAGGCCGATCGCATTTCCTTCTACTTTCCTCCCTTGGGCGCTTTTGGTTGGCTCATGGTCGAATCCCGGGATTCCAGGGGTTTCATCCCTCTGTTTAGAAGGCGAAGTATGGCCTTGATTCGCTGCTGAGTTAAACCATGTGGAATGCGCACGCTCGGTGATTGTTCCTGTTGGTTTTACTGGGTGCTCATCCTCTGGTATGTGGGCTTTGTTCTTAGTATTTTCTGTTGTTTATTTATTTCTGTCCCAATGGGATATGTATATATTTTGGCTGCGATATAAGCAGAGTCCATTAGAACATACAACGATGTAGTCTAGTCACAGCAATAATTTCATAGCCGCTTCAAACCATTTCATGTTCAATGACGCAACTCGTTTGGAGGACAAGCTCCCTGCGAGTGTATTGGATCCTCCTTCGGAGGCATGCAAGGGATGCGTTAAACACGCCGCCCTTCACTACAACGCGACAATACCCTGCTATTAAGGCTGAAGCGTTCTTTGAGATAAAAGCCAGCGACTTGGGAAGCAATTAACCAGAGAGCTTGATCTATAAACGATGCCAACAAAATAGTAAATTGCACATATATGTAAAGGATGTTCTTCAGAACAAAAAGCACACTTTACGAGGCTAGCTATATGTCTTAATTCATGTCAAACATGAAGATCAAATTCTAATGAGCCCGTAATTGAAAAAATAAGCTTGAATGCGATCATCAAGCTGCGCTTACCGAATCTATCATCACATGTAGACATAACCCTATGTACTCTAACAAAATGAGTTTCGTTCGCTTCGCTGATCGCCAACATATATTCCTATTTGAGTGAGAGAAGCGCATTGTGTGCACGCACTTTTTGGTCTCATCCTCGCACTCCAAACAAATATCTGAAACGTCGTTATGGTCGATCAAAGCGGCCCGGCCCCGAACCGCCAGAAAAACTGATGGACCCAGCCTATCTACGACTACTTCGTGCTTTTAATGGACATAGATAGACCTAGCTAAGCCAGGTTTTCTAGCTCCGTGCAGTCGAGGCTCGCGGACGACCTCTAAGTATACTCCAAGCACCACTTTCATGACAATTTCCAAGCCGACGCCAACTCCAAGCCTCTGAGTATTTCTTTATATCTGAAGTTGCCTTGCTTCGTACAGTTTTAATACACAATGTAATATTCACATATCTATTTGCCTGGTCTCCACCGCTAAAAGTACTGACATTGAATATATATATTTCAACAAAAAGCTAAAAAAGGCACACCGAACAAGCCCCGAAAAAAGATTAAAGACCCCAAAGCAGATACTAGATAAAGCCAACAGGTCATCTGGCTAGTATGTCTTCTTATTTCAAGCCACAATGGCGTTGCGGTACTGACGTCAGTTTGTCTCAGAGTATAAGCCCGACTTGTTTCAGCCACCAACTCAATAATGAAGAATAAATGAAATGCACAACATATGGTAGTAAAGAGCCAAGCTTCGATAGATACCGATAAAACCATACGTACTACGCGGGGCTACGACATTACAGTATCTATCGAGCCAAAATAAAAAAAAGAAGAAAGGAAATAAACACCGACAAATTGAAGAAAGACAGGATTGCTCCGGTTCGATTGCGCATAATTGTACAGGTCATCAATGCCCAACATGGCTAGGTGGTATCGTAGCAGGGTATAGTTTTCCCGAGGGACAGTCCGGTGTCCTCGACTCGGAGAGAGAGTTGGTTCATCACATAAAATCAAAAAGACAAGAACAAAAAACGAAAAGAGAAAAGTCGCTGGTAAGAAATACAAATCCAGATAATGTACAGGCCAATATTCCTTCGCAGAAGGAATATCAAGCAAAAGGGATGAGTTGATCACTTCGCAGACCCCGGGAAAATGGACAGTGTTCGAGAAAAGAACGAAATGGTCATGAAATATCGTTTTGTAGACTGCTCTGCGGTCCAATGAGTAACTCCAGAACGATCACAGATGAGAAGAATGGGAAGGAAAAGTCCGGTGGGGATTCAAGACATCCCGGACGCTGAGGATCAATCGATATCCTGAAAATGCCATGCAAAAGGTAAAAGGTGGGTAAAAAAGGGTTGGGGAATGGGAAGGACCATTTCGTTGACCCCGACAAGTCGAGGCCATATAGAAATCAAACTCAAGAAAAACATTCAATATATCGCTTGAAAGCAGGCACGCTCTCCCGCGCGCGAATCTCATAAAACTCCGCAGAAAATTCTGCATCTTGGTAGGCATTGACGGAAAGTATACGCGGGCGTTGATGGTCCCATAGGGCCATCAACAGCTCGCGAATTCTAGCCATCGTTGTGATGCTAGATCACGGTTTTGGTGGAATAGGATCACTGTAAAGGACTTCCGTTAGCTTTTTTTTGTAATTTGAAGCCACCAAGATGAAAGTGAAAGCAAATGCATACCTTGACACAGAGAAAAGCCCTAATATCCAGCAGACTTAGCCTCAGCAATGCCGCTCACTTGCTGATGGGCGTGAAAGATCCATTATTGGCCTGTCGGGGCATACTGCCGCCGCTAGAGACGAGGCTATGACCACTCTTGCCGCTGCTCTGGCTATCACGGCGAGAGTCGTCCGTGTCAACGAAGGAAGACATTTGGCGCTGGGTGTACTGCAGCATGGAGCGGTTGTAGTCCTCCAGCGAGGCACGAGAGGGATCCAGCGACCGGTAAGAATCGACAAGAGTCTCATTGGCCATGTTTTCCACACCACCGGAGTCTGGGAACATGGTGTGCATGTTTTCGGTTGCTTGTTGCATTTGAGCGGAGTGAGTCATGGTGGAAAATGTCTAGGGTTGAAGCGGTTAGTTAAGTTTCAGGACTAGGCATCAAACAGCGCCAGCAGTGCTGATCAATAGCATCAGGATGGGTGGTGGTCTGTATGCTATAATATGGCGACGACACGGGGATGAGGCTGATGGACAGGACGATCACCGTAAGGTGGAGGTTGGGTTGTGGGTGCCGTGGGGAATCCAGATGGTACCGGTGTCCCAGTCAATTCAAGATTGCTCACCTGTGATGTTGGAATATATCAAGATCTAACCAGTTTTGCGGGTTGTGTTGGATAATAATGGTAGGGTGGCAGAGAGGCAAGATAATGTGGGCTAAAATCGGTGGAAGTTCAACGGTATGTATGTTCGGGCCAAGGATATAAAATGGTAGGGGAAAGTGCTATGGGGCAGATTCAGGAGTTAGGGCATATACGAAGAACAATTGGATCCAATTTGCGAGCAAGGTTTATATATAAGACATGCGTGGCTCCACAGGAGAGTATGAAATCACATCGGTGGATGTTCGAAGATGGCAAACGTACTCAACTTCGCAGCCTCTGATAGGTCAATAAGGTGCCTAATTTCTCTTTCGCCCATGGTAAACACGAGATCTCTACCGATTACACCGAGCGGATTACGGTGACATAATTGGACGAAAGGGGGGGCAAAGAGGGGGGGGGGATATTTTCTCCTAGACGACATCATAGGAAGCATCATAAACCCCAGCATTTGTAGGAAGTGATTACCGTTGACCTATTGGGTACTTCGTAGAGCACGGTGTGGGGTCTAATCATCATCAGAGAACGTTATGAACTAGCTAATATCCACATGGGCACAGAGACTGGTGAACTTCGGGAGCGATATTATCAGTTGTTCCCACCATGTATTGGTAACAGTGCTCCGATGAGGTCACTGGGGAATGTAAATGACCATTGAGAACCGAAGGCGTTTTTGAGATCGGCACAACTACAAGTCCGGTCCCCTGCAGATCCTTGCCTGACGTTTACAGGACGAATCATAATTGAATTCTCATGGGGCTTTTGACGGGCGAGGCCCATCTCGCATTCTGCGTCGCTACGGGATAGGGTGTCCTTGTGAAGGAAAATGTGGACATTTCTGGTGGAGACCCGGTGCAGGAGTGGTAAACACGCTGTTGGAAAGCCGCGGTTCAGAGTGTGGTTTTAATAGCGATAGGCCTGGATACATCGATAGATTCAAACTAAACCGATAGTCAGCTCGACATGCATATAAAACGAGGTAATCCGAGTGGCTCAAAGCAGTAAATGCGCCTGCAGCACAAGAAAAAAAAAGGCTGTGCCTTAGCGTAGCTGAGGCTCAGGTCAAATTGAGCCATGCCGTCATACCCCGAGGCATCGGGGCGACCCGAGCAATTTGGGTTATGCTTCGGCCGGCACTCACATAATACCGATATTCGCCGGTCATGGAAATGGAATACGAAAACAGAGTTACCCGAGTCTGAGTGAGTCTGATTTGATTATCATCAAAAGTGGAACGTTTTTTGCGGAAAGTGAGCTTGAACTCGAAACGGTCTGGTACATCGTCTCAAAAGACATGGAGGCTTGCAGCCACAGTGGAGACAAACAGTTTGCAGATGAAGGTTTAATCGATCTTCAGACTGTTTTCATTCGCTGTGGATTTATCAGAATGACAAAATAGGAAGAAATCGAGACATCGTGTGGAGATGAGCTAGCGATCTCCTTGGGGAATGTACAGTCTTAGCGTTAGTGCCTGAGGCAGAGTGGCACCTGACGTCAGGGAGCCCTCATCTTCAAATGATACCTACATAGGTACATGTAGGGACTTGAATTGTACATTGACTATTGTACTATATTGTAGATAGTCATATTAATCCACTTGGTCCCGGACAGATGAATCTCAGGCACGGTACTGGAATCAGGAGATTCCATGGTCCATGGAATCTGACGAAAATGCTCGCGACCAACACTACGTTCCGATATGGATATCGGGGTAGTTCCACTATGCTATCCAAACTTGTCCTAAACGAAAAAGATATTGGCGTAAATGATCGGTACGACACATGGGGCAAGTGGCAGGGGTGTCTGCACCAAAGAATGGGGGTGGAGGGAGTTATGTATTTGCCATCCATGAGCCCTGGACGGAGATTGATGCCGGCGGGGGGAGGCGAATTGTTGCAAGATTGGCATGGAACTGAAGATATCAAAGCCATTCATCTACAATCTGCCTCTACAGCAGTTGTATATTTTGCTCAACTTGAAGAGGTCTCACTACATAGCATTACAACCTTAGAGTGACAAATCAAGGCAAGCCGGAGCTTATATCCAGCATATAGAACCCCCCTTTGTTAAGAGCAATGTTTCTTGTGGGAGCAAAATAGCAACGCCAGACGATCGTTTGAATTAAAACCTATATTTCTCGTTTACAGTCATGATCGGCCATCTGACTTTTCAGACTACAGCATAGACTTGGGGTTCCCAGGAAGCAGTTTAATCCAGCTGGCACCGGTCTAGATCAAAGTTGGTAATATAGTGAGCTTATCATACCGTACATATGAAGACTAGAGAGACATCTTCTCACAAAGTGGGTAGATAGACTATGATACTCATGAGTTGACTCAAATTCTATGCGATGTCGTAAGTAGAAAGAAATTTGTGGAGTACAACCTGTGTTTTAGCCCCTTTTGCAATATACTACTAGTCTGATGGAGCATCATGGAGCATGAACCATAACACCGCTTCTCCACCTCGAGGGTCTGATCCCGGATATGACAGCATACGATAATATACCTACTTAGGTTGTATCAACAGCCGAGCATGTCAAAAAAAAGCGTGCGAGACATGGACGTTACCGCAATGTGCACTTGCGGGTCTTCCCTGCCTATGAAATGTCAATGAACGAGTCTTCACGGTCCACTTTCTTCATTATCCCATTCCAGCTCGTGCCCGTGCCTGGTCTGACCCATGAACCACATACGAACCCACAAGGCTATTATGACGACATTGAAGCCTCAGAATGCCCCAAATCAAATACAATACATGCATTGTACACCTCCGTACTGCATGCCGATCAATTGAAACAGCACTTGAGTCAGATACCCGAGATTGACAATTTCCAGCGGCACCTTGAATGATATCACACCGCAGGCTCTGACGGCGATCCCTATGATGTATTGCAAGCCAAAGGAGCACGGAGGTATACTATGTATGTTGCACATCGTAGCGAGAATATGATATCACTGGAAGCAATTTGATTGCACAGAGCCGATTCGTACCGGCATTACCTCACGTCATGGCCTCTTACCCAGATGCACCTACAACATATGCGTCCATCGACAACCCTATCTCCACAAATTTATTATTGATCGTCTCTAGATTTGCTTGTAAGCCCCCTGTATATTGCGGGCCAGAGCGAGAAGCTAAAAAACCTGTTTTGGATCAGATGTCGGTTCCCATAGTAATATGTACAACATTGCCCCTTAGCTGGACAGCACTCAACACACTAGCATTCATCGATGCATCTGGACTTGTGTATACCATCTTTCTGGCATTATATATGGGGAAGACAACGTCTAACTGACGTATGAAACCGGTTCGAAACTCATCAGTATGTGAGCTTTCGCCTCCGCTCTGCGTTCTGGTCGCAAGGATTTGTTGTAAGTCATTCCACATATCAAATTCCACATACGGAGGACTAATGGGAGACTTCCCTTCGCTCAGAAACAGGTTCCGTCTCTGCGAGCATTGAGTACCCGCTTCCCCGCCTGCACGGTTAACTGGCATGGTAGGTGTCGGGAGAGGCACAACAACACGAGAACGGGTCCAGCACAACACGACACAACTTTTCAACGGTCTCGACTCAGCGAAAGACCCTTCTTTCGGACATAAACCGGTTTCTACTCTTGCGAACATGCAGCCGGCGTGCAGCACGCAGCACCGATCACCCTCGCCTCCCCGGCTGCGCTATGGTTCAGTGACCATTGATGTTATTCAGCGACAGACGATCTGACTATTCGGAGACTTCCCTTCGACGGAAACCGGTTATATCCCTGCGAGTATGGAGCATAGAGCTTGAGGCGTACAGCTTATACCACCGGGCATCTCGAGCATGGAGCATAGATATTGGGGCGTACAACGTATACCATCGGGCATCTTGCGCATGTGCTTTCCCAGTGTTTTTTGGTTCTGCCGATGTGACAATCCATCTTCCCTTGGTGGGTTGTAGGTCCCCCTAGTACAACATTGTAGACCTTCGGCTTGAACCCAAGTTGCTTGAGAGACCAAACATTTACCTCAATTGCTCTCTTTTGGCATGCCATACGATCAATGGCCACCATGACTCGAAGCCAACTACTATACCGAATATATTTCCCATTTTTTATCCAGACAGACAAGAACATCATAGATTTTTCAACAAAAATAACTAGGCCAACACGCCAGACATAGAAGGTAGTAAAATGCATCATATTATTGTTCATGCTCATGCTCACATCACACGTAACCTGTTTCAAAATGTCAATACGAATCCTCCAAATAGGATAGACAGCAGCGACAAGACAGTCCGGACACGACCATGACTTGCGCTTATATCCAACCCTCAAATACGGGGAACAAGTGAACATACCTTTCCGGGCACCCTGGAAGAAGAAGCGCACAACAAAGACCTGCAACGCAGCCATGGAAACCATCATCAAAGACTCAATCACACTGAAGTTGAAAATCCGGCGCTCGGTACTCCGCACGGTACTGAAGTTACGGTTCTCGCGTGTGCGGAAGTACTTCTGGTTGCGGGAGACGGTGGAGAGCTGCGCGGACAGCTTGTAGATGGACTCCTCCAGGCTGGAGGTTTGCTCGGGGCTAGCGCCCTGGCGGGAGGGGAGTTGGGCGCGCTGTTCGTTTTCAACCTGTAGGTTCAATTGCTCAATTAGCATTTGTTGACCACTTCCTTAAGTCGACGGATATGGAACGTACGGCGATCTCGAAGTCGACCATCTTCTCGGCGAAGGTGGA